CAAGTAAGTATAGAGAGCAGAACACCATGGAGTGATGCAGGGATATAGCCATGCTTCCAAAACTGTCCAGTTCATCATCTCACGCCATCACCTCCCAGCCCGAGGTGCAAGAGTGGTGCGAAGCCCCACCCTGCAGAGAAGTTCCTTGTGACCACAGACTCCAGCTGACCCGATTGGTCACTTCAGCACGGCTGGGTCTGACAAGCATCTATTTCATGCTGCTCATTCCCAAAGCAGGAGTCAGACAACATGGAACAAGCTCTGAGTGGACAGGAAGCTAATGGCAATCTCCCTGGAGCCAACAGCGTTTGGCTGAGGATGTTTAAGACATCATGACTTACGGAGCCTTCCAACACGGACAACCCTTCAGCAGGCAAGAGCAGGGAGTCGCTGCTAATCAAAGCAGGGCATAACCAGGGTTTAGGGCTTCCAAGATGGGGCTCACGGCACGGTTTCCCATGGCACATTGGCCGGGCTCTAAAAAAGGACCCATGTGTTTGGAAAGTTACTTCACAGTCAATATTCCTTTAGTCCTTCTGATTGAATCAGAGAGAAAGTTCAGCATGATGCCAGCGTGTCTTCAATACTTCCCCAGCACTCTATAACTTCCCCTTTGAACACACAGGAAGAGCAGGTCACTTCTTCAGAGACTTCAGCAAATAATGGAGCCCAGTTAGAATTCAATGACATTGTTGTGTCCTCCATGTATTTATGTTTACAGCTACTTTCTCTTTTGGCAGGCAGTAATTGGTGTTCTACTTACAGGAGTATACAAATTATTTTATCTGAGTCAAAAAGCCGATGGAGAAAAAAAATTGGAAATACAATACCACAGGAGGTACATGTTTGAGACCAAAAAAATGCAAAAACCATGCAGGTGGTAGGTACATGGTTGAGTGCCAGACATGCTGGGTAAACACAATAACTAAGGCTCGTAAGTGTGAGGGGTGTGTTCCAGAAGAAAGGGGGTCAGTTCACTTTGACAGGAGCCCAGGGCACATGAGAAAGAAAGAAAGAAAATCACTCAGTCATGTCCAACTCTTTGCAATCCCATGGACTGTAGCTTACCAGGTTCCTCTGTCCATGAGATTTTTCCAGACAAGAGTACTGGAGTGGGTTGCCATTTCCTTCTCCAGAGGATCTTCCCAACACAGGGATCAAACCTGGGTCTCCTGCATTGTAGGCAGACACTTTCCCATCTGAGGCACCAGGGAAGACAGGAGCTCAGGGCACATGTGAAGCGATGTAGAAATGCGGCTGGACAGGTAAACTGAGGCCAGGTCATGGAGAGCCCTGAGGCTGAGAAGAGCTGTGTGGATTTTCACTGGTGACCATGGGGACTCACAGAGGTCTCTAGACCATTTCCCTAGTAGAAGGGGGCCATCCCGCAAACGGGGCTAGTTTCAGGGAAGCGTGGAGACACACTGGGGCTTGTGGACTCTGAGGGAGAGGTGCCAAGGAAGCAGCTAGAACTACCTTGGCTCTGCTGACCGAGTGAGGCCCTGAGAATGGACCCACACCCCCAGGAGGATGCAGCTTATCACAGAATTAGATATTTCCTTCCCTGGTGGCTCAGTGGTAAAGAACCCACCTGCCAGTGCAGGAGATGTAAGAGACGTGAGTTCAATCCCTGGGTCAGGAAGCTCCCCTGGAGGAGGGCGTGGCAACCTACAGCAATACTGTTGCCCAGAGAATCCCGTGGGTCACAAAGAGTTGGACACGCCTGAAGTGACTGGGCAGGCGCACACGGAGGCCCCACGAGGGCTGTGAATGGAACAAAACATGGGACAACACAGCGAGCCTGGGCAGCAGGTGTCAGCCAACGCAGCGTTCTGTAATCCAGATACTTATCACCATGTATGGAATGAAAACTTCAGGGCGAAAAGGACAAACGGGAAAAAAAGATTGGAATAGGCTTAAAGAAAAAAAGAAAAAAAAAACCACCTAAAGATAGCCTAAACAAAACACACCCAGCCCCTTGCGCCTGCCCTCCCTTGTCTGCGTGCCATATGGCGTGTGATAAGCGAGAATGCTTTTATCTCTCTTTCTTCACTGTCTATAGAGCCCAGCACCAGCCCCATCGAGAAGGCTGCCTGGTTCTCTCAGGCCCTGCTGCCCTGAGGAGCAGCTCCCAGCCCCAGCCCCGCTCCAGGAGGTGGCCAGGTTGCCATTCCCTGCCCCCAGCACCGCAGCCTGCCTGGGTCCCACAAGGGCCACTTCCTTCACAGCTGTTTTCCCACAACTGGAGAAACCACAGGCCAGGCCAGCTGAGCCACAGTACAAACAGCCAGCCCGCCCAGTAGCTTTCACCTTCGCTGGTCCCTCTGCCAGTCCCCAAGGTCCTTTGCAATGGCCCAGACAACGCCTGGTAGGAGGAAATTTCCCACATGGCTATAAATTACCAGGCCACCTCAAACATCTCCTGAGCCACAAAGGCATCAGAAGCTTGTGCCTTCCTGATTGCTCCCGCCACCCCTGTCTCCTTGCATGACAAAATGACCAAGCAACAGCTATAATCCAAATTTTCTAGATGCCTGGTTCACTGAAGCCCTGCTCTCTTGCTCTTCCCTAAAAATGACCCAAATAATCCCATAGAGTTACATGCCTGCTCTGCACTTCTGAGCCCTGCCCTCATCCTCCAAACTCTTCTGACCCCCATCTCAATCTCTCTTCTTGTTAGTCAGGTTTTGATTGATGAGTTAAGTACCACTTATGGGATGGAAGGCTATCAGTCAGGTTGACTCTTCTGACTCGATGCCCAGTTAAATCTGAATTTCAGATAACCAGCAAATAATTTTTTTTAATTTTATGGATAAGTATATCCCATGCACTATTTGGGATATATTTTTATACTAAAAATTATTTTGTTGTTTATCTGAAAATTCAGTTTAACCGGAAATCTTATATATTTATGTGCCAGGCCTGGCAACCCTAGATATCAGCAGGCACAAGGATAAACAGCCTTGGGCAAGTCTACTCTTTCCTATTTAATCCTCAGAAGCCACCACAGAAACACTCCTGCCTCTGGTCTGCACCTCTTCATTGCTATTTTCTGAGCGCTGTCTGCAAAAGCCCTGCAGGCTTTGAGAGGCCCTGTCTTGCAGCCAAGACCCCGGTAGCTACACAGGAAGGGTTAACCTCTCAGTCAAAGCAAAAAGTCACAAGATTCCTGAAGGAAAGTATGTATAGAAGAGACCAGCATAAAGAAGCCCAGGGGGACAGATCTGGCGGCTCAGTGGTAAAGAACCCACCTGCCAACGCAAAAGACATGGGTTCGGTCCCTGATCCGAGATGATCCCACATCCACTGAGCAACTAAGTCCTGTGCCACAGCTATGGAACCCGTGCTCTAGAGCCTGTGGGCCACAACTACGGAAGCCAGAGCACCCAAGAGCCCATGCTCCACAACAAGAGAAGCCACCACAATGATCAGCTCATACACAGCAACCAGACAGCAACCCCCTGCTCGTCGCAACTAGAGAAAAGACTGCAGCAATGAAAACTCAGAACAGTCATAAATAAATAAATTTTTAAAATATTAAAAATAAGGAGTCTAGGAGAAGACACCCCACCTCCAGGAAGTGTGAGGACATCAAGTGTAAGCCCTTGAAGGCCCGGCAGTGTCTGGCACGACAGCCTCATACCCCCAAGTGTGATCACGAGCCAACATCATCTAAGACCCAGAGGGGTGGGTGGCCCCTTGGCTTAACAAGAGCATGAACTGCTTTAGAAAAGGCCTTCGCCCATAAGGCCCAAGGGCAGCTGGTCTGGGCAGGCCCCAGCACGAGTCCTGGCAGGAGAGAGAGCCCAGCCCCAGTGCACAAAGCATCTCAGGGGCATGGACTCAGGCTCTGGGCCAAAGTGCCATGGATGTGTGGGGCATTCTCTATCTACAAGCCAGAAGCATGCAGAGGCAGCTGTTATTCTCCTGTTCTGGCCCTGACAACACAATAATAGAGGGCCGCTTCATCTCCAATCCATAGACTATTTATGCCATCATCCAGAAAGCCACTGGCTAATAATAACACATTGGACTAGATGTAACTGCCATTTCTGTAAGTCAAGAATGTTAGAAATTGGCAAGTACGTATGATCCAACCAAATAATAATGACGCTGAGTGCCTGCTGTGTCGCAGACTCTGTGCAAGGCCTTTTAAGAGTATTTCATCATATAATACTTAAATCTTAATTCTGTGACTACCTTTCAAGGTAAGAGATGCAGAAACTGAGACACACAGATGTCAAACCAGGACACACGCTAGGTCTGTGTGACTCCAAAACCACATCTTACTGACCATGTGGTTGGGTCATGGGGGTCGGTCCTTCCACCTCCGACCCCCTATATGCTGTCTGTCTTTGCCTAGGTAGTCAGTGGCTGGACGTTCCTGCAGCACTGGGCACCAGACTCCCAACCTGATGGTACCTGTCTGCACACTGGCCTCTCTGTAAGTAATCAAAGCCTGGCCGCTGGGAATTAGAAGCAAAGTATATTTAACAAATAATTTCAAGAGGAGAAAAACACTTTGAAAGTTTATGTAGAATGAGGGGGAAAGCGGCCATAAAATCCACCCCTAAAATAAACAGAAAGTAATCAAGAGAGAAAAATCAAACCAGCTGTAAAACACCTTAACCACGACTACGAGGTAATACATAATGAATCGCTAACATCAGGTACAGTGTGACGCAGCACCACTGCTGATCCAAAGGCATGTGCCTTTGTGGCTCTCCCCTGAAAAGACTATTGAGCCTCACAGAGGGGGGAGGACAAGAAACCTCCCAAAAGAAGAAGGCAAGGCCAGAAAGCACCGCTCTCAGAGGCGAAGACCAACACAGGACGATCAATAAAGAGCTGCCCGACTCCCACTTTACAAAAGAAGAAAGAAATGTTCTCCTCCTTGTAAAATAAAATTTTGAAAGAGCATACGTAATGCAGAATAAAAGTTTCCACCAGTTCCAACTGAACATCTGCAGAGATCAACGTTTGAAAAAAAAGCAACTGACCTTCACGTGGGCCACATAGTGATGACACGTCTCCTCCAAGTGGACCAGCCGCAGCTTCTCGGAGACCTGACCCACGGACTCTCCCAGCAACATGAAGTAGACCCTGGGCAACTGGCTCTTCTCTTTTTTGGCCACATCAGCCGTCAGAACATAATTCAGGCCTGCCGATGAATAAGGTCAAAATGTGAGTGAGGATACACACAGTCACGAGGCCCCCTCCAGACACCCTTAGAGGGTCGCACGTTCCCTTCAGATGATATGTAGCCCTCCGCTGCCCAGAGGGCTGATGTCAGGCAGCCCTGATCAATACCATCTCCCAGAGAAGTATGCAGCCAGGGGCCCCCCCAGAATCCAGACAGACCAGGCTGGCCTGTCTTCCCGAGGATTCTCTGGGCGTCACATGTCACAGGTCCCCCTGATTTAAACCTCATGAGTTATTAACGGAGCCACCAATATACACATCAATGGTTAGCTGTATCCAACACAGTTAGTGTCCTGAAAGGTAGGCATCACAGCAAACCTACAGAATATTAAGAGAAGTTACTGAAACTACCCAGGCTACATGGAATACTGACTCCTATAATGAAATGGGGCATATGCCCAACACAAGGGAGTTATCACTCCCCCCCCAATGTGGCTCATCTCACAGATGTCGAGCAGGGCTCTATAACTGCTGCATCTATTGGACTGTGGCCGTCCGTCGCCCACTGAACTGGGCACTGTGTAGGCATACGAGACACATCAAAGAACAACACGGGCAAACGCCCTGCCCTCACAGAGCTTTCATGCAGGGAAACACAGAAGAGGCTGAAGCTGACTTCCTTCCCGGGCTACCATGGGGTGGGACCACATGGCTTAATGGTGTCTACTGGTTCAACAAAATCATGACCGCCATGAGGTCTATATTGGGATGCACCCCTAAAAAAGAAAACCTCATCACCTGGTGCCTCAAGGTGTAATGCCAGGGCGGCAGAACCTATTGTGACAAAATGTGGGACTTTAAAACATGGTCACAATACAGAACACACATTAGATAAACCCAAAAGTTTTCACCTCCATTATTTCAGAGCTTGTCAGGAAGTATGTGACAATGCGTTTTATTAGGTAAGTATTGCTCACTTTATTAGGTAAGTATGGCCTCAACAGAACCATTTCACTGCTCTCCTGTACCACATAACACTTTTTTACATAATACTATTTCTTAGCTGCTTTGTGGATTCAGGGGAGCATGGTATTTTTGAAGTGAGAGAAAAGGAGCATCTGTACCTAGAATGACCAGATGAGACTTCTGAGCAGTGGGAAAACGGATGACCCAGCCCCTGCCCTGGCTCCACACATGAGCCTCCTAGTAGCTGAGCTCTTGTACCCCAAAAAAGTAGCCTCACGCCTGCCAGCATTTAACTATGTGAGCTGGGGCCACGGGGATGGCTCTGCCTTTTAATAACATCAAAGGGATCAGCCACTAAGGAAGGTATGAAGGGAGAAAGTGACCTGGATAGGCATTCGGCAGCTGCCACAGGGCATATTTTTGATGCATTTAATGGTTTTCTTGGGCCTCTGCCATCTCAGGGACTTTGCCGAGCCACGCTAGCAGATTCTTGGTCAGCAAGGGCAGGTCTGCCCAGCTTGTTTATTTCAGCAAATAGCAGATTCCCAAGGTGAAGCTGGGTCACCAAGAGGTACCTGAGACCTGGATGGTGATATTATTGAAAAGAGAAGAATGCACACAGGAAAGTACTTCAACAGAGAAAGCACAGGAACCTGCACAAGATTTACACACCTGCTCCGACAGCAGTGGGGCAGGAAAGGAGGGAGACTCGTAGAATGTGAAAGCTTTCAGGCAAGCCTAGGGACCATCTCAATCAAGACCCTCGTTTTTTCAGATGAGGAACTGATGCCCCAAGAGGGAACAAGTAAAGCAATTATCCTCCAATTAAAGATAAATCTTTTTTTTTAAAAAAAAGAGGGAACAAGACTTGCTCCCGGCCAGAAAGCGGAATCTGGAGCTCTCCTCAACCCCAGTGTTGGGCTATTCCTATCACAGTGGTTCTTGGTACGTTTTTTACATTATTGGATCAAAAACTCACATTCTTTGAATGCACAGACAGCAGAATCAAACAAGTATAGAGATCTGGAACTGAACGTTGGCCAATTTACTTTCTCTCGATCACAATTTCCCTGAGCAACAGCCAAATAGTAAGAAAGAACACGTAGAAATGAACTGAGTTTCCAAGTTCCATTTAGCAAGCTTAGGCCAGGAGGTGGGCATTGCAGAAGATGAGCCAGAAGACCTTGCTCAATGGGGTCCCCTCTGCAGTCCCCATCTGGCCATCCTGCCTGGTGAGGGAGCCACAGCTGCCCTTCCATGGCTGGCGTGAAGGGTGACCAGGGAGAGAACAGTGCCTTTGAACCATCTCGTCAGCAATGAATGGCCAAGCCCAGAGAAAACTGGGTGGAAATGAGCACAGGAAGACAGAGCAGATTAGCGTCAGTGCCCCACCCACATCCTCTTGGCTTTTACCATTTCTCTGCTGTCCAACCCAACTTCTAAACTGCTGGCACCTGCAACCCCTTTTCCCATGGGCTCTGGCGGCCCCACCCACTGGGACAGCCGGCCAGGAGCACCAAGGACTAAAGCCCCGGGGACAGCATTCAGGAAACCATGGCCCCAGCTCCCCGGTCCCTTGGGTGCGGTAACTGTGAGGCGCGTCTGCTCTGGCTCCCAGGCTTCCCCAGCAGGCTTCCGCTCTGGCAGTCCTGTTAACAGAGGTAACGGGTTCAATGATACATGTTCTATTCTGCTGCCGTGATGGTTTCTGGTCAGCCTGACTAAGCCGTGGTATTTGGTCAAACACCTATCTGAACGTTACAGTGAAAGTATTTTTTAGATGAGACTGATTATTTACATCAGTTAAGTGCTTAGTCGCTCAGTCACGTCTGACTCTTTGTGACCCCATGGACGGTAGCCTGCCAGGCTCCTCTGTCCATGTGGATTCTCCTGGCAAGAATACTGGAGTGGGTTGCCATGCCCTCCTCCAGGGGATCTTCCCAACCCTGGGATCGAAGCTAGGTCTCCCGCACTGCAGGTGGAGTCTTCATTGTCTGAGCCACCTTCGAATAAAGCAGATTACCATCCAGAATGGAGGTGGGCCTCACCTAACTAGTTGATGGTCTTAAGAGAAAAAGACCAAAGGTGCCCCCCAAAAGAAGGAATGCTGCTTCCAGACTGCCTCTGAGCTACAATATCTTATACTTACATATACAGTATCCAATATCCTCAGGATTCTGCTTCTCTGGTGAACCCCAACTACTGCACCTGCCTTCCCTTCCTATCTCATGGTCCTGCTTTCCTACTGGTATTTCCTGGGATCCCCTCCTGAATCAACAATGTGCATTCAAATCTTTGCCACAGGCTCTGCTTCTGCAAGAATTTGAATTAAAATGGGGCAAGTCCAGAAAACAGAATGAATTTGACCCTCTGTATGTTGTCAAGAACTGTGCAGATATTTTACAAACATCAAGCTTAGTCCCCCCCAAACCCTGACTAACTGCAGAATCACTGGCCCAATATATTTCTCCTGCAACTCAAGGGAGAGTAGAAACAGGTCAGAGTCACTAACCCTGATCTGAGGACCACAACCGCTGTTCTGCTCTGGGTGGAGTATACTCATGCCAACAAGCTCACCTATCAGATATTTCTAAAGTGTGAAAGTGTACAATCAGATAGACCAGATTCACCTGATTCACCAAGAGCAATCATTTTGGAAACATTTCATCTTTTGAACTGCCAGCTCAGAGCTTCTCCTTGATTTAAAATTTACTTTGGTATTTTAAATTATACAATAATTTACATTATTAATTACATTACATTAATTATATTAATAATTACATTATTAATAATTTAAATTATACAATAATTTGATAAGTTAGCACCTTATCAAATCTCTCTTTTACAACAAAACCAAGAGACACATCACAGGAAACCCAGCCTGAGGGAGGAGGGAGCTGTTGGAGTGGGAAGAAGTGCAGATCACCCTGACTCTGAGCTTGACCGTTGGTTTTTAAACAGCCCCCACCCTAGGTGTCTCTACAAAGAAGCTCCCCCCACCCCAGCCCCCACCGCCCCCAGCAGCAGAGGAGATGCTGGAGAAACAGCTGGGCAGCTTGCCTGGCTGGCAGCCCACCCTGTGAGAAGATGGGAGCATCAAGCTGGCAGAGTTGCCGATGGCCTCCCCAGCGCAGTCAGCCGGGCCCGGGGAGGCACTGGTTCTGATTAGGGCCTGCTCCAACAGCACACATCACAGCCTCAGCTCTCCTTCTGGCAGCCTGTGTCCCTGCCATGTCGAATGATGTCATCTTGATGGAAAAGCTGATCTGCCTGGAGTCATGCTTCCAGTCTCCTCCTTTCCCTACCCCCCAGCTGGTTCCCCAGGGCCCCCCCACACCGGCCCGGGCCAGCAGCAAGCCAGCTGTCTCGCATCAACGTGGCTCTGGTCGCTCCCGGCGAGTTTTGATTCATTCCCATTCTCCATTAGAAAATGATTTCAGCTACGAAATTCTACCAATAAATCCTCCTTCCAGACTTATTCTGAGCTTCCCTTCAAGTTTTCCAGGAGAGAGGGGAGAAAGAGACTGTTTCTACTTTCCTAACTTTTCTTACCCTCCCCCCAAGCAATGAGGTGGTAGTTAGGTTCCCCTCTCCTCACAGAACCTGGACTTGCCTCATTATCCCATCCCCACGCTGCTTGAGAGACCAGAAGGAGCTCAGAGAATGTTCTCCATGTGCAAACGCTCTCTGGAGTAAAAATGCACCCCGAGGACCACAGGAGGGGTCTGGTGTCAACCCTATTTCTGCCCCTGGCTTGCATGACCTCGGTGCCATGTCTCAGGACCCGGCTGTACTGCCCGTCTTGGGGCAGGACAAGCCCCCTGCTCACTCAGCCTCGCCAGACTGAATGAGAGCCACGGAAATATGGGGGCGCCAGGTCAGAGCACAGAACACAACCACTTAGGGCTCAGCCCTGCCTGCTTTCCACCTGGCTTTCCGGGGATGGTCCAGAATTGCCTGCTTGAGTCTCAGCCTCTGAGGACTGACAAGTGCGTTTAGGCTTCAGCCTGGCCAGCAAGGTAGGTACAGGCTTGGTCCACAGGTAAGGAGCAGAGGCCTCTTAGGCACAGCCATCACCTGCCTTGCTTATAGCAGCCAGGAGGCTCCCAGGAGCCTCACACTGCCCCCCAGGCCAAGAATGAAGATTAGTAAGACCTGAGATGGGCTGAACTCTTGTATTAAATGGCTTGATGAAACGTCATAAATGTGTTCTGGGGGCTGCCTAAATTGGGAATGGTGTCTGCAGTGCGGGACTGCACTGGACCAGCCACACATGCTCCATGAGGGCAAAGACCTTGCCTGGTCTGTTCCGCCCAAGCACACGGTCTGGCACTTCTTAGAACTTAATAACTATCTGTTGACTGAATGAGCCACACAGGAGTTTCAGTGACTCCCTGTGATGGGTTTAGGAAGCTGTTGCTCTGCTCGGCTGGGGCAAGGACTCTGCAGACCTCATTTCTGCCTTGCCTGTGGCTCTCTGGGAGACCCTGCCAAGATGGAGAGCTTGAGAGAGGCTGCAAGGCCGCAGGAGGGGAAGGGACTTCTCATCAGCTTAGCCCAGCAACCGTTTTCCATGCAGCTGCTTCCAACAGCAGTTAATTCTCATTTCTTCCCCATCCCCACCCCCCGCCGAGCCCTAGAGCCAGCCTCACTGCAGCCCTAAGATATACCAATGGCACCAACCAGTGTCCCCACCTCCGAGGTTTAGATGCCAGGTCCGCAAGGTCCCTTCTCCAAGCTCACAGGTTCTGATGACCCCAAGCAAGTGGTCCACCCTACATATAACATTTTCCCTTTGTTGTCCTTGGCCAGAAGTTCTCACATCCAAGCCAGCTGCAGGTTTATTAAAACCTAGGTTGCTGGGCCTTACTCTCAGAGTTTCTGAATCAGGTAGAATTCACATTTCTGACAAGATATCATGTGCTGCTATTGTGGCTGGTCAGGAACCACCTTTAAGCTCCCTCATACAGACCTACAAGCAGCTTCCTGTGGTTACTACCAGGTCCTCCATGACCTGCTTAACCAATTCCCAGTGTTAAATTCTATCTGTTAAAATAACTGGTGTGGTTTCTGTTCTCCTGGATGGATTCTGCTAGGCTGTCATGGGGGCCAAGGCGGAGTCGCCCCCATAGAGAACTGCTCTATTTCCCATAGTACCACCAGAAGCCACCGTGGCCCCTCCAGTGGCTTGGGTCATCAGCTGGCCCTGAATGTCCTGTGCCCAAGCGGGAGCCGTGGGTTTTCCAGTACAACACAGAAAATGAAGAGGCAAATGGAATCCCTTCTCTGTGTGTGTGCCTGAGCTCCACCAGGTCCCAAGGGAGAGAAAAAGCTAAAGAGATGACTATAAGTCAACTGCTTACAGTCCCCCCAAAACATTCTCGGGGTGGTCCCACAGCTGAAGAGGCCAACAGACATATACCACTTCTGACAACTGTTCAGAAGTGCCAAGCACAGCGTTGGGCACCTCCCTATTGCACTGCCCAGCCTGTCCCGTCCAAACACAGCCGTTCTGCTGACAAACTCTGCTCTGGATACGCAGACATTCAGAGGTGACTGGTAGATGCCCTCTTGCCAAGCACGCCATGGCCAAAACCACCACTAACATGTTCTTGCATCTTCCTCCAGCAATGAGAGTGAGGAAGGCTTGTAACCGGAGTTCCAGCCCCGGGAGCCCAATGCAGAGGCCTGGGTGGTGACACCAAGCTGGCCAGCACCAGCTACTGGGCCGGGAGGAGAGCAGAGGATGTCTGTGCACTGAAGGTTACCCCATATTTCCTGCATCTGGAAACCGGGGACCTGATCTTCCTGATGGTGCAGAACCCTGGGGAAGCATCTACAGAGAACTCTACCCACATCTGAATCCACATAGCTACTTCAGCTCCACCACCATGGCTTCCCATTGTTCCCTCCTCAAACCTTCTATATTCCGCTGCCAACTCGTTTAGGGGCAGATTTCTACATTTCTCCCTTTACTGCAAAAACTAAGCTATCGCTCATTTCCCTGAATTCCAGGGAAAGGGAGAGAAAATGCCAAGGATACATAACTTCCTGCATTGCTCTGCAAATACCCAAATTCTCCCATTACCATTCTCTTTAAGCCTGACTCTTAAATAAATGTGTACAAACATCCCCTCAGACTGTCAAGAGATACTGGATTTCATCAATGACCCCGTGTGGCAGATGGAGAGTAGCGGAGGAGCACCTGCTCAATTCTCCACACCCTAAAGCAGACCTTATCCAGGTTTCTGCCCCTGGGTGCAGTACTGGATGTCATCCAACAGCCTGTCTCTTCCACCATCCTCCACCACTGAAGGGCCATGACTAGCCCTGACCTACATTATAATTCTGCTTGGAGGTCACTGAAAGAGGCCCTGAATACCAGGGTCACCGAAAGGGGCTCAGGTGACCAGGAGTCTATGAAAGGAGTTCCACTGACTGAGGTCTATGAAAGGAGCCCTATGACTGAGGTCTATGAACGAAGCCCCAGTGACCAGAGTCCATGAAAGGGGCCCCAATGACCAGAGTCAATGAAAAGGGCCCCAGTCACTGGGGTCTATGAAAGGAGACCCAGAGACTGGGGTCAATGACTAGAGCCCCAGAAAGAGACATTTGCTGGGGGCAGCACGAGAAAACACCCACATCTCCTCCTGGCTCGGCCCTTGAATCTACAAATTAGGGTTTGCTCTCACACTTATGTCATATGCTCTGAAATCACTCTTGCTCCAAACTTGCATTTTGGTTTCTTCTCTGTTCCTGCTCTACCAACTTACCTCCATTTTCACCACCACAGCGATGTGGTTAATGAGTCTGAAAACTCTGTGTGCAGCTTCAGGATCAAAATAGAAACTCCTTCTAATTCCCATTAAAAGCTCCATGAGGACATGGCTGGCTCATGCAGGCACACAATAAATATTTGACAAATGAACACACACATGAACTATTAACTGCTTGCTTTTCTTAAGAGTTCTATAACAGAATAGTTCTGCTTATTTTTAAATACACCAGAAGTAATCTTCAACTCAACAATTCTTTTAAAATGCTTTTTAATGGAGTCCAACTACATCACGAGTTGATATTTGATAAAGGACATACCATCTAATTAGGGAGAGGATATATGAGTCCCAAGACCATCAGACCATTTTTTTTCCTAAAGACTGTGGTGCCTTAAACAATTAGGGAGATGGTAGGAAATTGTTTTTGGAAAGCAATAGTATCATCAGACCAGAATTCAACTTTTGGCTTCACCAAGAGCTGTATGATCTGGACCAAGTATCTTTTTCTCACTGGATTCGCACACAAAAAGTTTATTAGTTCTCTCGTACCACCCAAGTTCCAAGTTCACAGTAAATTCATATTCAATTTTGAAATTTTTGAGTTCTTTTTCAAAAATCCATTAAAAAAAATACAAGATTTCATTGTTGAGTTTATTCAATTCACCTGAAGATCAAGAGAAATGTCAGTGAAACAAGCCGGAACAGCAGTCTCCAACCTTTTGGCACCAGGAACCAATTTCATGGAAGACAATTTTTCCATGAACTGGGGTAAGGGAAATGGTTTGGGAGTGACTGAAGAGAATTACATTTTTTGTGCAGTTTATTTCTATTATTATTATTACATCAGCTCCACATCAGATCATTAAGCATTAGATCCCAGAGTTTGGGGACCCCTGGCCTAGAAGGACTAGCATATTGTTATCTAAGGTAGAGCATTCAAGATACAGCTGAGAAATTGACTAGTGCATGACATGTGTTCGGTGTGTCTGGGTTCCCACACACCTGCACCCCAGAGCAGAGCATCTCAAACTTAAATGTGTACCAGCATCCTGTGGGGATCTTATTGAATGCAGATTCTGGTTCAGAGTCTAGAACAGGACCTGTGATTCTGCACATCTAACAAACTCCTAGGGGATGCTGATACAGTTTGTAAAAACAAAAGACTTCTTAATCTGCACAACTACTCCAGATTCACTTCCTTCAGGTGATCACACACTCTGAATTCTAAGCCACATTGATCCTATCTTGTTCCAGGGCTTGATCCAGTCTCAGAACTAAGCCAGCAAGTTGACCTCCCCCTGTTAGAGAAATGGCAGGGGTGGCTGCCAGTGGCCAGGGATGGCTGCCAGTGGCCAGGGTTTACCTGCCTCTTCTCCATCACCTGAAGCTAACAAAGGCAGCTCCCTGCCTTTTGGAAGCCTGAACCTTTGTAAAACTCAGCATGCTAATCTCACCACTCATCCTGTGTCTCTGATTCCACAGGAAAGAACATGAGCCCTCAGCATCTGGCTGGTGGTGCAAGCTCAAGGGAGAGCCTCCAAAGTCCCACTATTTTTTTTTCTAACTACATGGAATGTTTTTGTAAGGGCCAGGCTACCCACTGCATGTCCACAAGACCCACCACCTGTCCTACTCGTGGCCCCGTGAGGTTTCAGTGTGGTCCAGGGACATTTGGAGAAAGGATGCTTAGAGTCAAACATTATTTTTTCTGAGAGCTGGAGGTTGCACTGAATTGAGAAAATAATGGTTAGAAGAGCAGAGGGGGGACCTCAGGGAAAAGCGCATCTAGCCTGTGGACCCACTGCCTGTAAACCCAGCCAGGTTGCACTTCAGGAGGGAACTCCAGAACAGCCCCTGGTTGCCCATGATCCCACAAGCCCACTCCAGTTAGGATGGCTATGCAGAGCCCTGACTTGGTCTTGTGTGTTACCTATTTCTCCCGGGACGTGTTTGCCGTGGAAGCTAAAGCAGGCGGTGACATTCAGGCAGTTCACAGGCTGCTGGCCGTCATGACACTGAGGCGCCGTGATGTTGATGGAGGCAGGGAGGAAGATGGAGACATCCACTGTGATGACGGGTCTCGCCCTACAGGTCGGGAGGAACCAAATGAGAACTAAGCCGACAGGACAAATCCCAGGGCTTCAGCCCAGCCTCTAAGTAAAGTATGAATCAGCCTGAGTGAGAGAAAATGGCCAGGGTGCTCTGTAAATCCTGTTCTCTGGTGTCTCAGCTTATTTCCCAATAAATGAACAGTTATCTTCCCAATAATGAAGGCCAGCTAGTTGTTAATAAAACACATCTGGTTGCAGCCATAAATGAACCACCAGATGTTGGAAGATTATTTGAAAATTTCATCAATTAACTTTTGATTTTCATTTTAATAGGAAGATAGGAACAGATTTAAGAGGTGTCCCTACAGGGGGATGCCGTGACTCAAGAAACAGACGCACAAGCAGGAATCCCCCAATGCATTTACTGCCATTACTGCCATGAACTGCAAAGTCCCATCCAGAAACCTTCCCTCTTTGTTTACTCCCATCAATTAATTAAGTACTTTTTCTAAAAGACCTTGATGAATGGGGTCCCAGCTGGTAACAGCAAAGCATTTCGGAGCTGAAGAAATCACCCTGCCTAATAGCTGGACCAAGTGAAACCCAATAAACACAGGCACACTCCTATCACTGACAAGGACCACCCTCCAATGCTTGATGGATGGACAACATCATTGCTGGCCTTCCGGGGACTCCCCAGGGGCCCCCTATTAGAAGCAGGGAGTGAATCACACCATTCTGCTCTGGTTGCCAACATCTGCTGAGGGAAGATTCACCTAAACTGTGGCTTAACCTTCTCCCCTCCAGGCCTCACAAAGAGACCCTTTTACCCCCAAGGAGCCCCAGCCTTCACGCCGCTGGGGGTGATATAACAAGATTAAGGGGCTTTAGCAGCTTGAGAACAATGACCTCACTTGTGTTCAATGATCCCACAAAGAGCGCCCAGGGGGACAAGACAGATGGGAGCCAGGACGAACACCAACTCAGAGAAAAGAAAGCCTTAAGGAAAACCTCACAGAAGAAAGGAAGCAAGGAACTGCACCGCCCAGATGGAGTTAGGGGATTTCACTACTGCCAGCACTGCCTTGAGATGTGGGTTAAGAGAAGAACAATTGTGACAAGTAAAAAGGAACTACAGGCAGACCCAGCTGCAAGTCTAACGGAAGTCAGACAACGGCAGTGCCTGGAAATCCAATATCGGGTTTCCAACTTCCTTCTGGGTTCATCCTTAGAAGATGCTCAAGTGTTCCTTAGCACCCCAGCACTTGGATTTCTTCCTTCTCTGTGTCCACACCTCACCTCACCTACTAACTAAGGCCACTGTCCATGTCCAAATTCATCCCATCAGCCTACAGGCCCTCCAAAGGCTGGGATCCTGCTGAATTCATCCTAATATTCCCTAGTGAGCAGGTGTTCAAAGACTCTTGTTAAATGAACTCATTTACAAAACAGAGTCACAGACATAGAAAACAAACACGGTTACCAGGGGATAAGAGGGCAAAAAGATAAATTGGGGGATTGAGACTGACATAAAGACCCTATGATATATAAAACAGATAACTACTAAGGACTTAACTACACAGCACCTGGAAATTTTGCTCAATACTCTGTAATGAGTTATATGGGAAGAAAATTTTTTAAAGAGTAGCTAAATGTATATGTATCACTGATTCACTTTGTTGTACACCTGAAACTAACATAACATTGTGAATCAACTATATTCCAATAAAAATTTAAAACAACAACAACCCCTGTTCAATGAAACCTCTCTAGTCCAAGGAATCGAAAACGACAGGAGGGGCCAAAGTTTCATCAAACAGACAGGGGTACCAGCAGAGCTGGGGTCCACTCTGTGAGACTCCACCTGCTTAGCACATGTCCAGCCAGGTCACTATGCAGAAGCAGCCCACCCCCTCCCACCATCCCAGGGCCCCTCGCTGGGGAAATGCCTGCTTCCTCCTCCTGGGACAGAGCCTGGCAGAGGAAGGCGAGGTGAGCAGGAAGCAGAAGTGAGCAGTACAGACAAAAGGACTTCGATGAGGGTTGTTAAAAGAAAAAAAAAAAAACACACACACATAATCCTTTGAAATGACAAGCTGGGACCTTCACAAGCACCTCTCCCTCCAACATCCGTCAGATCAGTTCCCCCAAACCTTTTTGTTTCAACTCCAAGTATTGTTTCAGGACCAGGAAAAGCCCAGAAATCTTTCATAAGCCTTTCTGATCACTTCCTCCGACCTTCCATGGAATAACACCAGGAGCCTGTCACCCTAACACCGGACCTGCCCTCTTGAGCTAATCCCAGAGAACAAACTTCCTGAGGGCAGAGTTGGGCCAGCCCACACCCTGGTAGGGGCGGGAGACTGGGTTTCATGGGCTGAGATGAAAGCAGAGGGGTACCCAAGGGCAACACCGCTAATGCATTGAGACTTTAAAAGGAGCTGGTGGCTGGAATGCTTTTTTTTAAATTGAAGTATAATTGATTTACAGCGTTGGGTTGGTTTCAGGTATAAAGTGATTCAGTTAAACACATATACGCATGTGTCTATTCTTTTTCAGCTTCTTTCCCCTTATAGATTATTGAGTAGCATTCCCACTGCTACACAGTAGGTCTTCATTGTTTTCTATTTTACATCTACCAGTGTGTATATGTTAACCCCAAGCTCCTAATTTATCCCTTCCCCCACCTTTCCCCTTTGGTAATCATTAAGTTTGTTTTCTATTTCTGTTTTGTAAATAAGTTCATTTGTATCATTTTATAGCTGCCACTTATAAGTGAAATCATATGAGATTTGTCTTTTTCTGTCTGGGTATGATCTGAGTCTGATCACTGAGTATGATCATCTCTAGGTCCATCCTTATTGTGGTAAATGGCATTTTTTCACTCATTCCTATAGTTGAGTAATATGTCGTAATGTGTGTGTGTGTGTGTGTGTGTAGTATGTGTGGTGTGTGTGTGTGTGTGCATACATATCTTTAATCCAAAGAATACTTCTTTCTGATAGTTCTCAGTTTAAATTCTGATATCTAATTTGATCATGGTATTTCACTTCCAGGTAGATAATAAACCCAGGCAGGATACCCTGAGACATGTTACTCCAGTGACCCCGGCCTTTTGTCGGGTCAGTGCTGCTTGCATGGCAGAGACGGGAGGAGAGATAAAGAGCCCACACCCTTGGTGAAGGTGTTAGACCACTAACCATCCCCAAAGTAATCCATTACTCCAGGGAGCTAATTCACGTCTTAAAGCGAAAGTCACTCAGTCATGTCCGACTCTTTGTGACCCCATGGACTATACAGTCCATGGAATTCTCCAGACCAGAATACTGGAGTGGGTAGCCTTTCCCTTCTCCAGAGGATCTTCCCAACCCAGGGATCGAACCCAGGTCTCTTGCATTGCAGGCGGATTCTTTACCAGCTGAACCACAAGGGAGGCCCAATTCACATCCACATAGTTGAAAGCCAACCTCAGAAAGGTTTTCTCTTAACTGCAGCCCAAAGCATTCCTAAACTACATGGCTCTTGACTCTCCCCCTTAGAGCAGAACAGGCATGCTGTGTATGGTGTGTGTAAGTGTGGTGTGTGTGTGTGTGTGTACGTGTGTGTGTGTGTGTGGTACATGCACACACAGGCATGGTTTCCTGGCCCTCCTCCATTTTCTGGTGCCTCCAAGACCCTAAGGTAGCTCCAAGTCTATCCCTACTTGCCTACTTGTCAGCAAAGTCATGCCTGGGATGCCCACTTAGCTTCATCAGCCAGAGTTTCCAGACTCCTGACTCACTGCTGCTCAGCCACATGCAGCACTTCATCAAAGGGTGCCAACCTGCCCAGTCTCCTGGGTGTCCCGCTCCGCCATCTCTGAGGGGCCCCACCTCGTCTCTGGAACCTTCCCTGCTCATCCTGAGCCGGTCACACTCCTGGAAGAGACCCGAGGTGGTCACCCTCATCCACATCGCAAACTGAATCCTGCTCTGAGCCCTTTCCCCACCCACAGTCCGGACACCAGACACTCCCTTCCTCACCTTCCTAATCCCCCCTTCACCTCCCCTCCTCCCTTCTACCTCTTCAACCTCTCCAGGCCCCGAGAAAGGAAGGGGGTCAGGGTGAGGTTCAGACAGATGAGGGTGAAGCTGAGGGTCACTTTAATCCCACCCTCCAAACACCCTCTCTGAACCACTGCCATTCCCACTTTTCCCTCTGCAGTCAAGCTTCTGGAAGGACGGTAAGATTTACTGCTTTCTTGCTTCTCCTCCTCTCACCCACCCACGGCCACTTCTGCAGACCTGCCGCAGCAAGGGTACCACTGACCTCTCTCTGCCGCCTGCAACCAGACGCGGACCCCACCCTGCCTGGCCTCTACTGAGGGTGACACGGGCATCCTCTGACACTGTAACCTGCTCTCTTGTCCTCACAGCATTTGCCACAACCTAGAGTCGCCTCCTTTTTTAAACTGATAGAACCTCCAGGTCATTTGGTTTCCTCACCCCTAAAATGAGGCTCCTAAATCACAATATCTCTGTCACAGAGTTGTTAAGAAGATTAAGAGTCAAAATGCAGGGGAATCCCTGGCGGTCCAGTTGTTAGTCCTTCACACTCTCACCGCCAAGGACACAGGTTCGATCCCTAGTTGAGGAAGTAAAATCCCATAAGCCGAGTAGTGTGGCCAAAAACAAAATTTTGAAAAAAGAGTTCAAACATACTCTTCCAAAAAAAGACAAACAATTACAGTCTAGTCGGTCAATGGAACACCACTCAGTACCAGGAAAAAGGCTACACAACCCACAATACGGCTGCATCTCAAAAACATCACGCTGAGTGGAAAAAGCCAGAAACCAACGAGTGTATACAGTCTAGTTCTATTTATACGAAACTCTAGAACTGATCGAGGGGAACAGAAATCAGGAGAGTGGTTGTCAGGAGAGGGGTGTGATTGGAGAGAGACAAGAGGACACCTCTTGGAGCGACAGAAATGCTCTTCATCTTGATGGGGGTAGAAGTCACACAGGTGTACACACTGGGCAGGACTCATCAAGTGCCTGCCTCAACTGTATGCAGATTATACCGCGATGCAAAAAGCAACAGGAGCGAGGAGTTACTACACACCAGGGCTTAGACAGTGCCTGGCAAAGGGTAAGCGCTTATCAAACAACAACTGTCTTATTAACCGTGTTGGTTGCTCTCCATAGTTCACCCAGGGCTTTTCCCTAGTGGCTCGGCTGGAGAGCCTGCCTGCCACTGCAGGAGACACAGGTTCAATCCAGAAAGATCAAACCAGTCAATCTTAAAGGAAGTCAACCCAGACTACTCACTGGAAGGACTGATGCTGAAGCTGAAGCACCAATACTTTTTGGCCACCTGATGCAAACAGCTGACTCATTGGAAAAGACCCTGATGCTGGGAAAGATTGAGGGCAAGAGGAGAAGGGGACAACAGAGGATGAGATGGTTGGATGGCATCACTGGTTCAATGGACACGGACTTTGTCCGGGAGATAGCGAAGGACAGGGACGCCTGGTGTGCTGCAGCCTATGGGGTAGCGAAGAGTTAGACATGACTTGGCCACTGAACAACAATGAAGTACACCCAAATCTGCCACCCAGCTGCATCTCAACAGGTCAATGCACAGGAGCAGATGAATGAGGGAATGGGTGACCGTGAGCTCGGGACTGAAGGGGACAACAGAGGATGAGATGGTTGGATGGCATCACTGGTTCAATGGACATGGACTTTGTCTGGGAGATAGCAAAGGACAGGGACGCCTGGTGTGCTGCAGCCTATGGGGTCGCGAAGAGTTAGACATGACTTGGCCACTGAACAACAATGAAGTACACCCAAATCTGCCACCCAGCTGCATCTCAACAGGTCAACGCACAGGAGCAGATGAATGAGGGAATGGGTGACCGTGAGCTCGGGACCCCTAGGCACCCCTGCCATGGTTGTCAGGGCCATCTGCGGACCTCCTCGTCCAAGCCGGTGACCCCAGCCCTGGTCCTAAAGTCTCCTCCCTCCAAATGCTCCCAGGTGTTCTCTTCTGTGGACTCCACACCCGACCCTGTTAAGAGTTCATCAACCTCATCCGGTTCCACCCTCCATGCCAGGCTAGGGTCTGGGGTCTCCCATCCACGTGTAACTGCCTGGCTTTACATTTACACCTACGTGTGAGGAAATCCCTGGAGAGCGTTGTCCCTCACAAAAGAGGACAGAAGAAGACAAGTCCCTCCAGGGTGGAGCTCACAGCTGCAAGTTTATAAAATACAAGGATGATGAAAAAGCAGAACCCATAAGATATGCCTTAAGCCAGAAGCTCCTGGTTTGGAGAGGGCCTGGTTTCCACTAACGGCAGCCGGGGAATGTGTTTTATTCAAGGGGAATGTGGAGAAGCCAGAGCACGCTGCTTGAAAGAGTGAGCAGAGGAAAACGACTTGGCGAGGCCACCAGCTGGAGCCTTGGCCTCTCAAGGCCAACCACAACCATCTGTGGCCCTGAAAGCTGTTCACCCGGGAAAACGCCAACACAGAGAATGGGGTGATAAAGGAGAAATCCAATCCTATGGAAAGGAAAGGATTCATCCCCCTGGAGGAGGACATGGCAATCCACTCCAGTATTCTTGCCTGGAGAAGCCCATGGACAGAGGAGCCTGGCAAGCTCCAAGGGTCACAAAGAGTAAGGCATGACTGAGCACAGCATAAAATTGAGCACTTAAACCAGGCACTGTTCTAGCTCATTGAGCTCTCATAAAAACGATATTCAGTGAGGTGAGCACTATTGCCTTTTTAACAGGTGACCATCCTGAAAAAGAGGTTACCAGCCTTGCTCAGGAAATTCACCTCATAAGGGCAGACTTAGGGTCTGAACCCAGGCCACCTGGCCCCAGAGTTTACACTCTCAACCTCAAGGCTATTCTGCTTCTTCAACAATGTAATATGTGGGCGGGGGGAGAGGATGCCGTATTAAATTTATTCATTTCTTTACAACATGATTGGCCATCTTATATTAACTCTCAGGAATTAAAGAAGGAAAGAATGAAAAAGAAAAAACCTTGAAAGCTAAAGGCCTGTAAGGCTAGGTATCTGATAAGAAAATATAATCCAAGTCTCTGTTTAGACCATTCTTAGGGTAGTTATCATCTTTACTAAATCTTTAGAATATGTATTATCTATACCGTTCACATAGCACCTATCACATATTGCATTATATTGATGATTTTTTGTGATGTATTTATGGCTTGGTCTAACTAGTCCCCTTGATTCAGAATGCCTTAAACATTATGCTTCCCCACACTTCTCTGCCCACTGCAGTGCTCGATAAAGAAGTAGTGGATTTTAAAAGTATCAGAATCTCTGGAGTAACAGAGTCACTCCTGACTCAGGAATTTTACACTCAATCTTGAAAATGTAAATCATCCATGGATTTTCTGAAAGACAATTCTGGCTACTGCTCATTTGACAAAGCCTGCAAACAGCCTTTGTGGTAAGTGTGCGCAAGGCAAGTAACTTGAACTACTTGATGTTTTGCATTACCTAGAGTTAACTGGCTCCCTTAGAAGTTCCTAAGCCCTCATCTGAGGCGGTCCCTCCTTCCAGAGGAGGCTGTGTAGCCCTGAGGTAGAGACTCAGGAGAAAGGCCCTGCTGAATGAGAGGAATCCAGGGTGTGGAACTCCATGGCCTCTGGGATCCCTTCCAGCTCTAAGATCCTACTAGCCTATTTTAGAAAGTTCTGCAATCAGGCTGTTAACAAAACCTAAGAGTTGGCTCCCACTCCAAAGTGTAATTCTGCCTCCTCTGACTCATGCAGACAGAAATACTTGGAGAGGGCTCGTGGGTGGGATGGCAGCCCACTGGCCTTTGCAGGAGGGATGCAGACAGCATGGGCTTCACAGTGAACTCGAGCCCCTCACCCACTGCTGTCACCAAAGAGGGGGCAGGAGGCTCCCAGTCCCTGGGGGGCTGGGGACCAGGAGGTGGGGAAGTGGAGGTGACGAGTGTAAGTAGGGATGAACACATGGGACAGGGCAGGGTCATGGCACCCGTGGAAAATGACACTTCATGTGAAGCACATCCACGGGAAGCGTTCTTCACGGCAAAAGACAGGAACCTCTGCCTAGAAGCTCCAAGGATGCTATCTATTCTCACACATGTAAGCCACTCAAGGCCCACCAGCTGGAAACCCTGGGATACAGGATAACAAGAATAGGGAAACAAAGGTAGCATTCACAATTACCAAGCACCTCCGCATGCAAGGAACAGGGCAGAGTGACTGCTGACTGATGATAAATAAATCCCCTGCACCGCCCCCCAACCAAATTCCATCCCTCACCCACAGAGAACCAAGAGAAAGAGAGAAGCATCTCACCTTAGGAGAACCACACTGTCCGACATGAAGGCTCCAACAGTTACATCTGAAAACCATAAGTTTACAGATTTAGAATCTTGCTGAAGCCCATCTCACCCACCCACTGTCAAGGTGCTCCAACATGATGGAGGCCAGTCTCAAGGTCAGGGGCTTGTAATGGCTTTGGAGGAGCTAGAGTCCCACTGCCGTGTGTGGCAGCCCATCGCCAGGTGTGGCAGCTGAGACCCCAAAGGGTTCTGGTCTGCACTGAGATGTACGTCTAAGACAGAAACTGATTTCGAAGACTTGGTATTAAAAAATATTAACTATTTCACTAATAAAAAATGTTTGTATTAATTGTATGCTGACATGATAATATGCTGATACATGGGGCTAAATAAAACATTATTAAAATGAACTTCATCTGTTTCTTTCTATATCATTTTTTATGTGGCTACTAGAATGATTTAAATTACATAAGTGGCTCACATTATTTCTTTTGGACATCAGGGATTTGGGGGTGGGGGCACTTGGAATTAAATGACTCCTGGGAGAAGCTCTAGGTTCTGCAGAACATGAGAACTGTCTCCATTCCACCCCTCACTCTACACGACTACAGAGACTCTCTGTGTCCTTGTCTGCACAATGGAGATGATGATCTCCAATGTCTTCTTCAAAAGCTGACAGCATTTCATAATATTTAAATCAGAACACATTTATTACATACTTGCTCAATATAATAGTTATTAAATGAATTAAATCAGATACTAAAATCAGAAAACTCATGAAAATACTTGGCCAACTAGAAATCAAGGCAAGTGTTAGTTGGTAATGTTTATTCCTAAATAATTTTAATTTAGGAACTGTTCATTTATCCAATAGTTCTCTGCCTTTTCTCCCCTCAAGTATAATAAAACCCTTCAGCCCTGCAGTCCCCATGACTACTTACAGAACCAAGCATCTTAACCCAAGAGCATCTGAATCCCTACATCTACAAATGCCCTCAATTAGGAAAAACAACGTATCCACGGACTACAGGACTGCTAAAATCTCTGCACTTGGGTGTGCTTGTTAATTTTGCTATTTTCTAACAGTATTTTTTAATTGCCTGGATACTTGAACATAAAAGAATCTGATGCACTGGCCATTTCTCTTATGAAAAATTGCAAGGTAGGAAATTTACGTGTGTTGTGAAGTGTGACCACCCTCGCTCACTCTGCAAATACAGAGGAGCAGCCTGAGTCCCCATCACACTACAACATGGTCTCTGGCATCCTGAGTTCTCTGAGGCTCAGCATCCTTGTCTGTAAAAAGGGGAGCCACCTCTATCTCTAACTACTTATGGGGGTAACTTTATAATGCACGTTGCACAGGGAAGCAATGGACAGTATTGCTAAACCAATGGACAGCCACAAATTGCCCAGAATAACTGCTTTCTCAAACATAAAAAGACCTAGGAGGGTCTACAGGGAAAAGTGAAGAAGTGAAAGTGAAAGTCGTTCAGTCGTGTCCGACTCTTTGCAACCCCATGGACTGTATAGTCCATGGCCAGAATTTCTTTCCCTTCTCCAGGTGACCTTTCCAACCCAGGGATCAAACCCAGGTCTCCTGCATTGCAGGTGGATTCTTTATCAACTGAGCTATGAGGGAAACAGACCTCAAAACTGACCCTTTTCTGTTCCCACTCCTCCTGGCTCCATAGATATACAAGGACGATCAAAACTACTGTCTGTGGGAAACTCTGAAACTCAGTACTCTGTACAGAACTGCATTCATTTTCACAGATCCTTCTGAGGAATTTTAAATGGAAAGGAACATTTTCTCAAGCTAGCACAATGACAGTTTCAGGGACTTTTTTTTTCTAAATTCCATGATGACTTGGGATTTTTTTCATGTCTTCTCTTTGCTTCCCCACCTTGCCTACGCCATCCCCTTCAAACAGCACAGGGACCACTATTCCTTTGCCCAATCAATTTCACCTAAACCGGATATGACTGAGGACCGGGGTTTGAAATCGTACATTTTTTACTCAATTAGCCTCAACCACCACAAGGCATTAATTAACCCCAAAGACAAGCCGGCCAGCCTTGAATGGCAAAGGTCTGTTTTGTGTGTCAGGGGAAGGACATGGTTTTCTTCCTGCTCCAAGTGTTTCTTTCAATGCTTGTCTTGTGTGTGTTTGGTGGGGGGAGGGGGGTTGCTCCTTTTCCCCTATCAAGAGGAAGACACCTCCAAATATGCTCAAATATTACGGAAAACACGAGGTTTCACTCCTTATATTCTGAATGTGGAGAGGGATTTTTGTCTTAAACTTTCTGCCATGGAAATCACTACAAAAATCCACCCTCCTGGTGCTTAAACCCTTCAGAGCAGGTCGTCTTAAAACTGAAGAAAAAAATTAATTTTAACACTACTTTCATCTTAAAAAGCAAACACCAAGCAAAACACCCTGTTCTACTGTGTGAATTTTTCTAAGCCTAAATAGATGTGACCACACTTACCAGACTGGTTATCTTGGCTTATCTCATGTGCCTTTCAAGAAAAATAGCTTACCAGGATAGCTATTTCCATCCATGTCAATGCCTCCCGATATGGACTGACCAAACATCCGCAGAACTGGACTTATCTTCCGCCCCGACAGCTTCTGAAACAGATAATAGGGAGATTGAGCCACCGGAAGCGGCACAGTCACAAATAAGAACCCGTGACTGCTTTAGCCCAGCTTCTCTCAGACACTTGGTCTTGAAGTTGGTCAAAGAAAAAAAATTGTAATCTGAATTTGATTGGGGGTTTTAGCAGGCAGTTGAAGACCTCACACTCCTTTATTAGTACTTGCCTGAATCAAATGTCACCATTTACAACTTTTTCTAAGTTCGGTGATAATGAACAAACCACCTAGATGAGTGTGTTCGTGTTTTGATGTATTGGATGAAGCTCCAAATGGATTAAGGTCAACTGCCATTTCTAAGCGAAGTCCTGTTTTGTTTTTATACAGGGGTAGCTGGCTGGAATCCTCAGAACACATTTTCCTCACATCTCTCTACATAAACATGTACTAAACATGGAACACTCCTAAGATGCACACGTGAGCCCAGTCCTAGGTGGACAGGAATCAACACATCTACCTAGAAAAGATGACCACGTGGAAACCACCTCTCCATCAAGCCAACCAGAAGATGTACAGGCTCCTGAACATCACAGACAGGATGAAACAGCTCTACCTAGTACATCTAAAACTTCATGGTCTTGAATCTTCTGTAAACTGAAGGAAATTTGAAAAAAAAAAAAAAAAGTCAGCTGAAGCTGCCCTCCTCCCTGAAAGGCAGCCTTCAACCAACCAATCAGCATAGATAGCTCTTCTGCCAGCAGGCCACACCAGCATCTGTACTTATCCCTTCTTCGTCATTAAGTCCAACCTGTGCTAACATAACACATGCTGTACTGGTTCAGGAATATTTATTGTACACCCAGCCTTTGCCACACACTCATGCTCGTGTGGCACCGCTCCACACAAAGATGCCAAACTTTCCCATTCAGCAAAGTGCCATGTTCTGGGATCTGACCTGTTCTTCCTTCCCTTTCTCTAAACAGCCTCCCTGGTGAGGCTTCCCTCCCAGGGCCCTCGTTGTGGATGGTAAGAGAAATGCTTTGTATTCATGCCACACAGCAGCCTCCATGTCAAAACCAAGTGTACACATACCCGGGGCTCACTTGGGACTTTCTTGCCTTATTCTTTTCCTTCCTGCAAAGAAGTCACAACTATGGGGATGGGGTTTTTCTATAGGACCTACATATGAGACAGCACGGACTTCCCCAGCAGCCAATAATTGCAAATAACCCTCCTCCTGCCACCTCAGTGAAACCATCCAACAGGAAGTATGCAAGTGGTAAGTAAAAATCAGAGCACTGTAGGAAACACTGAATAAAAGTATCTTGCTAACAGACAGAGCCCTACGTTCTCCTGTGGCTCTGTCTAAGCAAACATGGACGTGGGTCTGTGTGTTTCCTAAAAGCCACATTTTGAAGCGGAGCATCTCGCTCTGAGGTCCAACGTCGTGAGCAGCAGCTTGCCCTGAGTTTGCATTTCCGAGGTATGCTGTGGCTGGGACAAGCGGGGAAGAGTGAAGGGGTGGTCCTTTTGGGGGTGGCGATGCAGGCTTAAGTTATCCCACAGACATCTGCAGGCCATTATGCCATAAAGCCAGGAAGATAAGTCCGCTTGGTGCTAATAACTCTAAATGAAAACCAGGAGCCTTGGGAAACCTCCGCTTCACCAGGTTTACATGCGGTGCCCTGATGGCAGAAGAGAGATCACAGGGGCCGCCGGGACATGCCCGGGGGGCTCTCAAATTGAGAAAGGCACAGGAGGATCTTAAAATCAACACTTTTCATGGTAAACTCGAGGAAGAGGAATAAGTTACAGAGTAACATGGAAGAACTTCAGACCCCGATCTCACAATGTATCCAGCAGAAATAATACCAATCTGGGCCAAAGAAAAGCAATCCCCTCGCCCAGACTTGTTTCTGATTTCCTCCTCTAGTTCACCCACACAATGCCCGCTCTGTCCAAGCCTGGGCCCTGGACAATCTGGCAGCAAAGGATTTTTTTCTTCTTTTAAAATCACGAAACTTATCACATATACATTAGGAGCTTGGAAATGTGTAATCACCGGTTGCTTCTTTTTTTTTTTTTTTAAAGAGCCCCAAACCACTTCTCTTTGTTAGAGCTAACGAGCCAGGCTGCGTGCTGACAAAGGCAGGACGGATCCAGCTGCTGATCCCTGCTTCCTATAAAGACAATCCGCGCTGACCACAAAATGTATACTTCAGTTGTCTGCAGGGATCCCTCCCAGCAACACCACAAAACACGGGAGGGCCGCGGGAGGAGGGGAAGCGGGGTCTCTCAACTTGTAATCGCCTCTCTGTGCAATTAGCTTCCCAGGTCCAGCAACAAGCTTCCAGGAGGAAGCGTGGAGAGTGACCTCGATGGCTGCCCAAGGATGGCTATTACCTGGATGACTTTCAGCTTGTGACAGTGGGAACAGAGCCCCCTGACCCAGAGGAGAGCAGCCCCTGGGGATGGATGTGGCCCCCACGTTTCCCGGAGCCCTCTTCCCCCTGCCACATCAGCTGAATCCTCTAGGAGTTTATTTCCACCATTACTCATTTCTCACACTAATCATTGGTGGCTCAGACAGTAAAGCATCTGCCTACAATGCAGGAGACCCTGGTTCGATCCTGGGTCTGGATCGAAGGAGATGGCAACCCACTCCAGTACTCTTGCCTGGAAAATTCCATGGACAGAGGAGCCTGGTGAGCTACAGTCCATGGGGTCGCAAAGAGTCGGACTTACTAATTTCTAATGCACACAGAACGGTCCATGTAGATGAAGGCCCCTCGGAGTAAACATGCCTCCCAGCAAAATAAGCTTCCTTAATTCTGTTTTCCAATGGAGCTTCCCTCAGCATTCCTTTTTCTGATTTGATTTGAGGGCAGTGGTTGCAATAAGAGGGTTGGGAGTCAGACTAGCAAAGTCTCAGTGGCCAAGATGCTACTTCCTAGCTGGTGACAATGGGCAGGTCAGTTCCCCTCCCTGGGCTGGAGTCACCTCGTGTATGAAAGGTGGATGACAAAGGTGCCCATGTCACACAGCTGTGATGAGGACTGAAGGTAAGATAGCAGAGGCGGCACTCGGGAAGCGTCCCTGCTCTCACCAGCACCTCCCTCGCTATCTGCCTCCTGCAGGCATCAGACAGCCAAGCAGGACGCCCAGGAGAGGGCACCTGGGCTCAACTGGGAGCCAACCAACCAGCCCTCGACCCTCCATCAGCTGACTCTTATCTGCTGCAGGAAGCACAGTTAGGAAAGTATACACTGAACTTAACATGTAGGTACTGCCCCTTAAAATCAACTTGTAAAGCCTTTTCCTACCTGGAGACTTCCACACACGGACAGGTTTCGATACTTCCTGTTTCATTTTACAGAACATTTTATAAGAACAGGACTCAGTTCAGAGTTTTATTTCCTTCCCAACATTCAAGATATGAGGCAAGTTTCTGGGTGACGACAAGTGTCAGCTTGAGTAGAAGGGGGCGAGAAAGTAATAAATGTTCAGTAAATCAGTATGGGCTGATTGGAAATTTCTCGACACGCGCTCAGTTCCTTTCTGTTGCTGACCTGCTGGGAGAAGAACCCAGGCCTGTGCCACTCTACACGCAGACATCCACAAACATCCTGATCATGCTTCTGTCCAGAAAGTGACTTCCTTTTTTCCCAGGGACTAGGCTTGACACCATCAGCAAGATTGAACTTCAAGCAAAAAAAAACCAGAACTCACCACTTCCACATTCGCAAGTCCAGGGGAACGAAGCCAGGGCTTTGACAGTTTTAATGCCAGTTGTGACAACAGCCCCGTGACAGCTTTCAGGTCCTTCCTCCATGGACCATTGTCTTTCTAGGTTATATTTTACAGGATATAATCCGTTGGCTCAGCACAGATGGTTGACAAAGCAGTAACCAGAAAAAGCAAGCCTCCTCTTCTTAAATAAACCACTCTAACTCTGGCTACAGAATTTGGATATTATCTTCTATAGGCAGAATGCCTCCCTAGATATGAGCAAATGTAGGAATCTATACATATGTTCAGATCTAAGAAACAGTATCAATGGTTTGTGTCCTTCACTGGAGGGGGTGAAGGTGAAGGCAGAAACAATGTTGTGTGTTGTATGCGTCTATAGAATGAATGTACGAACATCAACCAAGACATTCTCACGCCACTTACCATGGAATATTGAGGGACCATTCCCCTGGCATCACCGTGATAGATGTACACTGCTCCCGAAAAGTCATCCTCCTTGGGTGCGCCAATGGCCACATCTGGGGGAAAAAAAGCAGTTCTGGGTTAAAAAAAGCCATGTGGAATAATGTAAGAGTGGATTCTCTAATTCCCGCATGATGTCTAGAGACTTCTTGACTGTTACTTGTTCAGGCATTAAACTAGGCACACGATCTCTTAGCAGCAGAAAAAAAAAAGTAGAAAGAAAATTATAGAAGCTGAGAAGAGTTTAGTACCAGAACAATTTCTACCTCATCTTCACAGGATAAATTGTTAACTTGTGCAATAAAAGAATGTGAATATCAACCACACACCCTAATGTCGGTCCATCAGAGAGGAGAGTTCCATAGACAATGGTTACTGCATAGCTGAGAAAGTCAACTCTATCCTTGGGTAAAGGAATTATATGAAACGGCATTCACTTTATAAAGAAAAAAAGAACAACAACAAAAAAAAACTGTGTTACTCTCACAAACTGACAACTCCTGAGACAAAGCTGAGATCTTTCTCCCTTTCTTCAATTTGCTTCTAACAAAAGTCATGTGTCTAGAGATGGGAAGTCAAGGGTGAGGGGCATCACCCACCCAACCTCAAGCAGAGGTCCCCAATATCTGAAAGAAGCCCTCTACGGCCAGTGGAATTATGGTTTCAAAAGAGCCTGGATGCCTGCCTGAGGCCCGTCTTCCACATTCCGCCTCAGCTCTCTCTACCAGTGACATGGCCCCCAACTGTCCTGGTGTCTGAACCCGGCACATACGGTGATGGGAGGAAGGACTGAACCGACCAAAATAGAACTTCAGGCCAAACAGAACTAGAGGTTGTGCATACACACCTCCACCCCTCCCAAAACATACACCTTCAGCCAGCCCAGCGCGCTCTCAGAGCATCATAGAGCATCAGAGGCTCAGAAACAAGAAGGGTTTGTGGCGAGAGGAAGCTGGTTCAGACTTGGCCGCCACAGAAGCCCCTAATGCGCTGAGCTGACGGGCAGGGATTTCACAGAAGCAAACCTCCATCAGAGTCAGGGCTCAGCCCTGTGTCTACATGGAAAACGTGGTCTCACGGGTATTTTCTGCCTCGAGTGCGTGCACGGGCCTTCCCTCGGGCGGGTAGATCCTGGAGTGCCCGCAGCAGGGCCAGGTAAGAGGACAGAAGCCAGCTCACTGACCTGGGAACCCGTCATCGTCCAGGTCGCCCAGGCTGGCGATGCTCTCCCCGAAGTGTGCGTTGTAGGCACCGTCTCCACTCAGGGTCAGCTGCTCCTCCAGGACTCCCTGGGAAACAGGATGGAGGGAAAACGGAAAACAAAACAAAAACAAACCGAACAACCAAAAAAAGAATGAAAAAGCAGAGCTGGGAATGCCGCCCTTCCCCGCCGCACACCCACGGACAGGAAACACCTGGGCAGAATCCCAGGCACCCAGACGTCCCCCCGACCCACGGGCAAAAGGAGGCCCTCCCACCTGGGCTCCTGGGGGTCTCTGATCACCTGAGACACATTTTAGAGGGAAGGAGACACACTGTTGGCCAATGACTGAACCTCTTCCGGTCCTAACACTCTCCACCAACCTATTTACCTGCCTACCTGCCTGTCCTCACGGTCTCCTCTCCCCACAGTATCCCCAAAGTTGTTTTAAAGGAATACATATTTTCATTTCTGATCTCCTGTGCCTCTGGTACAAGTTTATAAAGCTGTTTCGCAGGATGCATGTATGAGTGATCTCGACAGAGGGACTCATGGTTCAGAAAGACTGATATCCAGTAGTCCTTGGGTAAGGGGTGAAAGCGGTGATAACAGGACACAAAACTGTACCCATTTTCATATCTGGTTTGTGTTTCTTGAGCAAACACCAACCAACGGAAGGCAGGGTCAGTGGTGATGGCGACAGTCAAGGCCACACCTACTCTGCCCCCAAATCGTTGACACGTGACCATCAGAGTTAACACACAATCTAATGTTTTGAGGCACGAGAACATCTAACCCTGCTCCTGGGTAGAGGCACTCAGAGCCACGGGACCCCCACAAGCCATCCCAAAGCTTTCGTTATGACTAAACCTTTTTTCCATCATATACAAACACCTTTCAAAAACTAAAGATGTGATGACTTCTTAAGTCAGTGAAACCCCCACCCCACAACACAAATATGTGCTGACTTCCTCCCATCAGCGTGGTGAAGAGGAGAAACATTGATTCCTGGCATATACCAGGCACTGTATCTTCACATCCTCATTTAAATCACACAGTGACTGTACACGGAAGACCTTATGACTCTGCCTACTTCATAGATGAGCAAACTGAGCCGCTGATTTCAAGCTATTTGTCCACATCACACAGGCTATGTGTGTCAGTGGGAACACCAACATTCAAGGGCAAGTCACCAATTTTTCCCACTGCTCCACACTGCCCTGAAATCTTTCATCACATAGGATGAAGTTCAACAGAAATAAGAATACCCCGGTACTCTGGTAATCCCAAGGCATTAAGAAATATTGGTTGGCCATAGGTTGTGTGGGAGCCACATGCCTGAAGAAGATCTGGGGAATGATCCTGCTCATAGATTCCATGCCCTGGGGCTGTTGGGCTGGTCACCTTATTGCCTGACAAGCTAACACCCGTGCAAACACCGAGTCAGTCTCCTGCATACACAGTGGCGGGCAGCCACTGAATGCTGACCATTCTCATCTCCGTAATGACTGCCTCACTTCTCCCCTTGCCTGCCCTGTCTCCCTTCCTGGAAGGTCAGTATAGAAGCAGGTGCCATTGCAACCGGTACCATGAGGCATCNATACACAGTGGCCGACAGCCACTGAATGCTGACCATTCTCATCTCCGTAATGACTGCCTCACTTCTCCCCTTGCCTGCCCTGTCTCCCTTCCTGGAAGGTCAGTATAGAAGCAGGTGCCATTGCAACCGGTACCATGAGGCATCTTCCCAAAGAGCTTGTAAATATCCAAGAAAGTCCGAGGCTCTAACATCCCCTGGCTCCTCTTTACATAACTTCCCTTTCTTTCTTCTCCCTTGCCCACCTAGCTTTAGCTTAATACCACCACCCCCTCCCAACGAGGATAACTTAACTAACTCAACATCTTGGTCACAGCTTAAAAGTACACTTTTACTAACTTTTTTGATTATGAAAGAATTACATTCTCACTGTTTGTATAAAGATAAAACTAAATATCTACCCAAGCACCACCACCCAGAGAGATCTGTTACTAACTTTATGTATTTTGTATATATATATATTTTTTTCCATTTATTTTTATTAGTTGGAGGCTAATTACTTTACAATACTGTAGTGGTTTTTGCCATACATTGACATGAATCAGTCATGGATTTACATGTGTTCCCCATCTCGATCCCCCCTCCCACCTCCCTCCCTACCTGATCCCTCTGGGTCTTCCCAGTGCACCAGCCCCGAGCACCTGTCTTGCAGTTTTTATCCTGCTTTGTCACTGATTATCTCATAAGCATTTTCTCAAGTTAGCTAAAAGGCTGGTGCTCACAGGATTTGTTCACTGAACCATTTCCCTCGTGTTGAATATTCTTTCTTCTAGATCCTGCAACGATCCTGCTTTCTCTTTGGTCTCTTGCCCCAATGGGTGCACTGCCGTCCCTCAGCTTCTGCCCCCACCCACCTTCCACTGTGCTGCAGACACAGCTTTCTGACCCAGCCATGCTCTTTTCACAGTTCTGCAGATTAAGGGACATCATGACTACAGCCCGTGGCCACTGTGCTGTCCCCACCTAACCCCCCATCCAAGTCCCACCACGCTGAACTGTGGTCCCACTGCCTCACACCTCAGTTTACTTTGCCCAGCTCCCAGCCCACTCCCACCTGTCTGTCTAACTCCTATTCTCCTTCAAGGTTCCTTCCAGCCATCATGTCCTCTGAGAAGGCTTCTCTGTGTACATACTCCCGGGGAGGTGGCATAACCTAGAGATAAGGCATGCTAACTCCAAAGTCAGTTTGCCCACATTTCAAATCACAGCCCCATCGCTTTTTACCTGTGTGATTTGGGGTAGTTGTCTTAACCTATCTGAGCCTCAGTTTTTTCACCTGAAAAATGGGGACCCCCTGATACCACATGCACATGTCATTGAGATCATTCACAGGAAACAAGAGAAACGGCTCCTGGTACATGAGGAGTCCTCAGTGCCAGTCATCTGAATATTTCTGGACCCCTGTGTGTCTGCAGTCATCACAGTGCATGTAACTTTGCATAGATGAAACACGGAGATTTTTGAAGGTAGGAAGCAAGTCTGTTCACCTCCTCTGGGTGATGGGTCTCAGTCACTACTCCACGGGCCAATGTCTCTTTCCCTCACCCCATCCACATGCTGCCCAGCTCTGTACTCACGTTTCCTTTGTTGATGTAGACGGTGACCTGCCCTTCGTCCCTGATCTCAGAAAACATGGGGGCCCCCACCAACAGGTCGGAGAGGCCGTCTGTGTTCAGGTCAACTGCGCATAAGGAGGAGCCGAAGTAAGAGCCCATCTGCAACCAAGTCGAGTTGCAACAAAGTGTTCAGTGTCCGCCCTCACACACGGGGCCCCTGCGCCTTCCTCCAGACCCCCAGCCTGACAGGCATCTGCTACTGAGCCCCTCAGAGCCTGTGCCAGCTATGCTGCCCTGGAAGCAAGAATGCTTGGGCAACAGTGAGATCCCAACTCCCCATGCCTCCTGGCAGCCATGTGAGGACCCCCGTCAATGCGAGACCCATGCCACTGACTTGGAGCCCCACCAAAGGGGAAACAAATGGACCAATCCCGGGAGGATGAGGTACTGCTTTTACAAATGCGAGCTAAGGCTGCAGACATAGGTTATAACCATAATAAAAGTGCCTCATATATCAGACATTTGACAAGGCCAAGCAAGTTAGGAATATGGAATTTCACAACAGAAGACAGACATGAAAATAAATGTTACATGGAAAACAGAATACCCTTGCCCAATCCTGGGTAAAACTGAAGACTGGCTAGGAAGGTGTGAGCTGAAGTAATAGAAGAATGTACAGCTCATAAGATTATTTGACGAATGAGGGAATACAGCCAGGTTATACTGGTTTAATCACAGCTTTATCCAGTACCTGTTTTGTTGTGGTTTTTTTTTTACCATTTTTTTAAACTGAGGTATAGTTGACATACAGTGTTTAGCTTCAAGTGTACTGCAAAGTGATTCAGAGATGTATTATTCAGATTCTTTCCCATTACAGGTCATTATAAGACACTGAAAACAGTTCCCTGAGCTATATATACAACAGGTCCTTGTTGTTTATCTATTTGATATATAGTAGTGTGCATATGTTAATCTCAAACTCCTAATTTACCCCTCTCCCCCTCCCCCTCTGGTAACCATAAGTTTGTTTTCTAAGTCTGTGAGTCTGTTTCTATTTCATAAACAAGTTCATTTGCATCACTTTTTTTAGATTCCACATATACGTGATACAATGCGATATCTGTCTTTCTCTGACTCAGGACCTGTTATTTTAAATCAGGGGTCTCAAACGCAAAAGCCAATGGGATCCAGACAGGTGATATAACAGGTATAAGAGAAAAGCAAATGATAGCACAGGCATGCTGACAGGTGACAAGTGACGCTCAGCTCATTTGTCTAAGAAACAACAGAGAGTGGTGGAGACTGCGGCAAACCAGAGTCCACGGGCCCAGTAAAAGGAGCAACTTCCACCCGGGGAAGTCAACTCCTGACTGACCCAGAAAAGGCTGACTGCCTCATCCTTTAAGAGAAACCGAAGCTCTAAAATTTTATTTGAATTGCCTATTTTTAAAATGCTGACAACTAATTCATATTAAAAAATAATAAATAAATATACCATGCAGACCAAATGAACATTTTTGTAGGCTGTGTCCTTTCCAAGGGCTGTGACCTCTGTTTTTAATTTATAAAAAAAAAAAAGCTATCCTTTTAAAATAAATGTTTTCAAGTAAAAAGGCTCTGGTTTTACAGACATGAACAAGCATTTTCTTTTGCTGTTTGTTGGCAGTTAACCCAGGGGAGTTTGAGAGAGGTGGAGGGTACTTTGGTCTATTTCCTGCAACTCCGGCCTGGGACAGGACTCAGAAGCCCCTCCCCAGTCACGTGTCAATGCCACTTCCACCCACTCCCACTCACCCCTTCCCAAGGAAGAAGAGCATGGGGAAGTTTCAGAATCATGGAGGTGGGGGCAGAAACCAGTTGATGGTCACCAATTCAGTGGCCTTGCCAATATCCCTATCTTGACTTTCATAAAAGAAACCGCTAAGACCCAGGCAAGGCCATGAAGACCAAAGTTGCTGGCTGTTCTCTCTGGCTGAGTCCCAGGGGAACTATTTGTTTCATTCCAAAGGACTATTTAACTTGGCATCTTCGTCGGTGTTCAATCAGAAATCCCCGTACGTGAAGTTTCCTATCTACGTTTTGACATATAAACACCTCACATGCTCAGTTAACGCAATAAAACTTGGATGTGGCAATGACATGCTTTGGGGTGAGTATTCCCAGATCAGAGCTCTCCCAACAGCCTGGAAATGTGGGGACACACATGGTGCTTGTGGTAAAGAACCCGCCTGCCAATACCGGAGACGTAAGAGACATGGGTTCAATTCCTTGTTAGGGAAGATCTCCTGGGAAAGAGCATGGCAATCCATGCCTTTATGGACAGAGAAGCCTGATGGGCTACAGTCCATGGGGTCACAGAGAGTCGGACACTAGTGACTGAGCATGCACACACATGCCTCTATTAGCAACAGAATTGCACGTGTATTGGTGATTTCTTAAGTGCACCTTACAAAGGATGTCAACCAGTGAAGACCAGAACCCTTTCGGGTTTTGTCTCTCTTACGGTGAGGCCAGAAGACAGAACTCTGACCAGATTCTGGTCACACAAAAGCAGAAGTGGACCGGGGGTTTCCTGAGTCAGAACCTTCCTTTAAGTGTGGCTCCAAACACAGGGGTAAAGCAAAGACATCCTTTGAAAGTCTGGGGTCATATCCTTTCCTGCTGTAATAATGGAGAAGTCAGAGGGACAAGAATTTCTCATTTCTTTTGACAAAAGCAGAATAAGACATCTAAAGGGAGTAATGGTCTATTTCAAAATCAGCAAGATGATGACGGGGGTAAAGCTAGAAGATGGTGAAACAAGAGGGCAGAAGCGGAGGACGGATGCCACCGCAATTCAAGGAGAGGCCGAGAAGAGCCTGGAGGAAAAGGAACAGCAGCTCTGTAGCTGGGAGGGCAGACAGCTGGCCCTTGGTCCCCTCCTCAGGAAGCCCCGCTGTGTCATAATGAGGACACTTGGGCTGATCTGCAGGCTGGTCTGCGCCAGAACCCACATCATCACGTCCTCAGGAAGTTTCCCTTTCATGCCACCCACTCTCAAATCTGCTCCCCCAAACCTGCCCACAACTCAGGCAGAGATGGGCAGCCATGAGAGCTCTCATGTAAACCAGGAGGGCTCTGAGAAGGAGAAAGGGCGCAATTGTGGACGGCCGGTTACACCAGGAAGACCAGCATCAACTGGGTCTGTCCTGGGCGCGGGCAGCGGGCAGCGGGCAGCGGAGGTGGGGATGCAGGAAGCAGGGGGGAGGCACAGTGACAGCTGAACCTGAAGATGCTCTACAAATGGGATGACAGGTGGGTTCAAGTCCCACAGCTCACTTTAAAGAGTCCTTAAAAGATAGTAGTTATGTAAGGTGGCAGATGTGCTAATAAACCTCCCTGTGATCATCATTTCACGGTACATATGTGTATCAAATCAGGCTGTACACCTTAAAAGTGTTATATAACAATCATATTCAGTAAAGCTGGGGCGGGGCGCGGGGGGAGAAGGAATCCTTAATTTCATGCTTTCAAGCCCAGTATACTGGAAGGGGAGGAAAGGGAGGGAGGGTTTTCCACAGGAAAACTCACCCACTGATGTTTTTTGGAGAAAGAACTAAAACGTTAGGCTACATTTACCCCTACTTGCTCTTTGGAACTCTTTCTCAGAAATGGCATGGGGGTTATTTCTTTTCTAACTTTAGAGGTGCTTGGAAATCCTTTTTTTTGCAGAATCGCTCACAGACTTTTTCCAGTGTTGTTGCTTTGGGGTTTTGGAAATGTTAAAATAACACAGGCCAGCATAGTTCCCGGGGGAAGACAGCACTGCTCTCAGGGAAAAGCTCACAGAACTGGCTCGGGTGATGTATGTCTTATTGAAAAGGTTATGACAGTTATATACTAAGAATACACATGAAGGCTGTTAAAACTGCAAAAAAAAAGCTCTACTTGTGAGTGGGACTTTTGGAACTCAGAATATGATTCCCCAGCAGAACAATACGCGATGGTGCCAGGCTGGCAGGGGGCAGGTGTGACACAGCAGGACCTGAACTGGGGCACGTGGCCCACCCCGGAAGGAAACAATCATTTTCCACGCCCCACCCCGACTTTTCTTAGGGTAATGATAGGCACGTCAAAAGGTGATTTTACCTATCTCCTTGAATCTCCCTCCCAAGTCCCAGGCATTCTGTGCTTCCTCCCAGAGCTCACTAAGGCCTCCACCAAGACGAGCCTCCGAATCACCCCCTTCACTCCCTGCCTAAACTTGCCTTCTCTTTCTGCAGCCGGTCTCACCAAACAATCCTGCCAACTGAAGCCAGGCTAAGGTGTGCACCACTGATAAGCCCATGAAAAATGGTACTTGTTGACCAAAGGAATCTCTACCTGGCTTAATTTCAGACCATGGTACAATATATAATGGAAACTTACAGGAAATGGGAAGAGAATTAGCAAGAGGGTAAGGATAACAAGATGACACAGGCAGATAAACCTTGCCAGGACTAATTTCAGGGCAGCCTTCCCCAGCTATTTCTATTTCAAAGTCCTAAAAGGAACCGGGTGAGCTTTGTTTGGTTTTTGTGGGGCAACGGTCCCTATGGCAATGAGGGCAGAGGGCTGGGGATTGAGGAGGAGGGGCAGCTTTGGGTTGATGAGATAAGGGACAGGGAGAACCACTTGTGTGCGGGCCTCCTCTGAAAATAATCGGCTATATATCTGTACTCAACAATGCCTGATCTTTGGGGAGTTGGGAGAAAGGTAGACAGAGAAGGACAGAAAGGCAGAGAGAAACAGGGTGCACAGTCTTTCTGAGAAGTATCTGAACCATGGACAACCTTTAAGACTTCTGTGCTATAACTCAGTCACGTACAAACTCATCTTGCTACCTGTCTCTACAACACGCAACGAACCTGGGATTCTGCAGGCCACACATGATGCTGAGAAGGTCGAGGCTCCAACATGCAGTAGAACCAACATGTAAATGCACGGCACAGACAGGCCTTTAAGCCAACTTTCTAAATAAGAACTGATTCCCACATGATGACATCTCACAAACAAACAAAAAGACACTAATCCCAAGGATCTCACCTTTTTACCAGAAGCTTGAAAAATCTTAATTAAGGTGCCTGATCTTCGGTCAGCTCTAAAAATATAAACCTGTGGAAGGAAAAAGAATCTAGGTAAGATGCAAGCAATTTTTTGATATTTATGAGTATTCTCTTGGGGATCCTATTTAAATGCCTGAACAGACACACAAGTTTGTCTACACTAGCTGATGACAAGTTATTTTACCAACTTTACAAAGAAAGTATCCTTTAATTCTGAGGCAGAAATCAACCCCATGCCTCCTGAACCACATCATTTATGGAGGCTGTGCCCAGTAAGGCCCAAGGAGCTTTCAAACTGCTACCAAAAAATCAACTGCTAGGAGAAGTATTTTCTTCCTTGAAACATTTCCTTCACTCCAGTTAGTTAGGGCTTTAGCAAGTGTCACAGTAAAGTCATTGTTGGTGTCTGCAGTAAATGGGGTCCAGAACCCATGGGATACCAAAATCCATAGATGCTCAAGCCTTGTATGTAAAACAGCAAATAGTGTTTGCATATAACCTATGTAGTCATCTCTACGTTACCTAGAATATCTAATACAGTATAAACACTATGTAAATAGTTGCAAATACAATGTATAAATACATTTGTACAGCAAATTCAAGTTTTGCTTTTTGGAAATTCCTATATTTTTTTTTTCCTATTTTCATTCATGGTTGGTTGAAACCACAGGTGTGGAAACACAGATAGGGAGGGCTGACTGTGTAAGACAGAGGGGTAGACGTGAGTATTTTAGACAAAGCAGTTTTCCAAAGTGGTCCCACAGAACATTAGTTTCAGGAGATCTGCTTGGATAAATATGAGTTTGGTTCGGGAAATGACAGAATTAAACAAATTCTTTTACTGGGGACCTTTTAGAGCCTTTAGCATCGGCGTGTATACCATGAATCTCCACCACAGTGAGGACTATTTGCACAGAACTTCCTAAATGACTTGAGTATGTAAGTTCTTTTCCAAGTGGCATCTTAAAGGAAGAGCAAATGTCCCATGAGAATCAGTGTTGGGGAGCCGCCCGTGGGGTAAGGAATCTCCATCTTACTACAAATGCTTTCTTGCCCTGACACCAGAAATGATGACCACCAAGATCCTGGAGGCCAGAGGTCCATCCTGGGGTCCTCAGGAAGCAAGTGTGTGCCAGTTCTCAAGCCTGGGACTATGGAACCATCGCCAGCTTTGCTAACTACGACCAGTGTCCCCACTGCCTCTCATGCACTCTGGCTGAAAGCAGCAGTTTCATGTTTGTCTTTGTTAACTAGATCCACGAGGCCCTCTGTCTGGCTCTATCAGTTTTAAGTACCACTCTCATCCTAAGACTTGACAGGACTACACAGTTATCCCAACCACCTGAAGAAAAGACAATACAATTAGATCAAGTTTTCTTGACTAGTGATTTAAAATCAACTGGTGATTTAAAAAAAAAAAAACATGCGGTTGTCAGCACCAAGGCATCCGTATCACTGTGAACTGGGAGGCAGGTTTGCCAATGCTACAGAGATGCCTGGTCACACGCAGAAGAGATTATCTCCTCCCAGAAGAGATTATCAATATGGAGACGGCTCTTGGCCCCGTCCCTCTACCATGTAGAGGAATTCATGTGGCTCAGAAAGACCTACCCCTTGCTTGAAGTTACCAGAGTTCATTTGCCCACCTCCCCTATACTCAGGCCCTGGGTTTTTAATCTGACTTTATTTGCAAGGAAAATGACATCTGTGTCACCAGGGGAGGAGGCACATGCTCCAGAAACATGAGTGGCAACTTCTAACTCCTGCCGAGGAGGATCCTGGAAAATAACCCTCATGAACGCCCAGCAGTCACACCTCGTCTGCTGATCAGACTGGCATCTAGCTGAAGGCTCCAGTTAACAGTGGCCTTGGTCCATCTGAGCCTCTCCAGAATCCACTTTTCCAAATCCATGGAGATACAACCAGATTCTATCATGTGTCCACCCCTACGGATTCAAACTAAAGACCATTCCTCTGTTCAGTCTTACCTATAGGACAATACAGAACTCGTTAAAATACAGATTCCCGACTCATCTGGACTGACTCAACTTGATTTCCTGCAGCCTGAAGCTAAAGATCCAACAAGCACGATTCTTCATATACCAGGCCTCACAGATGCCATGATTCCCAAAGGGATTCTGACTGCCCTATATTCATGGGCAGCCTTTTCTACACTCTGGACAGACAGTTTAGGGAAACAGACCCATATATTCCCACTCTAGCTTCTGGGCTGAACTGATCTTGTTCTAAAACATTGGAGAAAAACAAAAAATATGAGAATCTAGGCCTAAAAATAAAGAAATTCCCAAAGATATCTGGGACTAGACTTGGCTCCATTAAGTCAAATTTTGAAAGGGTATGGGAAAGGGGAGGGTTTGGGGTTGGGTAGCACTAGATACCATTTCTTTGGTGGATGCCATGATGTCAGGGGTCAATCTTAATCGTTTCTCAAATAATACAGAGTCAGTCGTGTAAAACATTCTCAGACGATAACATGTAGAAGACAGAGAGGTCTGGGAGTAGTGTTCATACTCTGAAGAAGCTTCCAAATTAAATTCTCAAAAGAGGCTGAGTGAAGATAGGTGATTCAATATTTCATCATTATCCAGCAGCATCTTCACATCAATATGAGCTGACAAACCTCTAAAAAGAGGCAGTGCGCTTCCCCTCCTGACCCCATGCTGGTTCACACACTTCCCTCCTCACCTTCCCAATGCCTTCATCCTGCGGGGCACCTCCAACCACGTCCGTGGAGGACACGTGAGAAAAGTGGCCGGCAGTAACTGCATAGCCTGCAAAGGACAGAAACCAAGGGTGAGCTTGAGAGAGAAGAAAAAGATCCATCAGAAGCCAGTGTCTCTTAAGCATCCTTTATCTGGACAATTATGATCCAGTTTATCTGGAACATAAACTGCATGTGTGCTTAGTCGCTAAGTCGTGTCTGACTCTTTGTGACCCCATGGACTGTAGCCGCCGGGTTCCTCTGTCCGTGGGATTCTCAGGCAAGAATACTGGAGTGGGTTGCCATTTCTCCTGCAGGGGGTCCTCCTGACCCAGGGATCAAATCTGAGCCTCCTGCATCTCCTGTAACGGCAGGCAGATTCTTCACCACTGAGCCAGGAGGCCCAGGAACAAACGGCAGCTGTCAGCCTTCTCACTGTGGAGTGGCTCATCTCACAGACAGACACATTCACAAGGACCCAGGGCAGGAGAGAGTGTTTTCTGAGTGTCCTCTTTTGAACAGGTGCTATGCTAAACATTCTACATCTGTTTTTTTGTTGTCGTTGTTCCTTTCTGAAACACAATTCTCATACAGTAAATTATACACATCCGATGTGTAGAATTTAACAAATGTGGACACATGGGCACAACTATGCAGGCACCACCCAGAGTGACTATAACCACAGAATCATAAGCCCAGAAGGTCCCCTTTCTTTCTCCCAGTCACTACCCACTACAGGTCACCTCACTCTGATTTCCGTCACCATGCATTACTGTGCCTGCTCTAAACGTCACTCAATATAACATCTGAGGACTTCCCTGGTGGCCTGTTGGCTGAGACTCCACGTTGCCAATGCAGGGGGCCCAGGTTCGAGCCCCGGTCAGGGAACTAGATCCCACATGCTGCAACTAAAATTTGCATGCCACAATGAAGAGTTGGCATGATACAACTAAGCCCAAGCGCAGCCAAATAAATGAAAATGATTATCTTCTAAAAACCCATAACATCTGTGAGGCTTAGTACATGCTGCTGACTATAGCGGTAGTTTCTCTTTATGGTTGAGTATGTTCTCTTGTGTGACTACGTCATAATGTCTTTATTCTCCTAAAGCTGGGCACTTGGGTTGTTTCTTGTTATTTCAACTTTATTGTGAATAAAACTGTTGTGAAATTCTTACGCAGGTCTTCAGATGCCACTGTCTCTAATCTCCCAACTCTATGAGGGAGATATGATTATTTCTTCCATTTCACAGATATGGGCAGGAGGACTAAACGTGGGTAAGCAATGTGTCTGCGATTACTCAGCAAGATTCAGATCCAATCTGTATGCCTCCCAAGCTCCTGTTGTGAGCCATTACACACATCCCTTCCTCAGAAAAGGAAGAAAAAAGCTTATAGTTGGAGGGTGGGCAGAAGGATAGCTGAGCAAAGAATCTGGAGGCAAAAGGAATCTAGAAGTAAAGGTAAAAGTTGTCTGAGTTTGGTCTCAGTGTCCCTGTTTTCTGAGAGCCCCGCTGGCAGCAGAAACCCTGTACAGGTTGCCATGTATTCTGCAAACCTTTTCCTCAGCTGCTAACCCTAGTGCTATGATCATAAGATGCTTGCATTTTGTAATAATGTCATATTATGATCAATTCTTACTCACCAGGTGACTGATTTCTCTCAGACAGGAGGTTCATATTCCCTAAGAGCATCATGAGTGCCCTCGGAGCTTCACGTGACCCCGTGCGCATGAGCTTCTAAGGCATGAGGGCCTCTGACGGGCACATGGGAAGAGCCACAGGCCCTGAGGCTCAGAGGGGCTATCCTTGACCCTAAGGCCATGTCCAAACTGGGCTCTTTTCTGCCTTCTCGTCATTCTCCGATCTAATCAACATGTGCTGCCCCAGGCACTATACCAAGACCTGGAAAGGTCAGCCAACTCCCCTCCTCAAGGAGCTCCCCGTCCCAGGGAGAGGTCACACCACTGGATTGTGCTGTCTACTGGGCACCTAGACTCTGGGCTCAGAAAGTACAGGTTCAACCCCCCGCTTTACCACTGATGAACCATGGGACCTTGACAGATTATATGACTTCTTCACCTCGGTTTCTTTACCTATAAATAACAGCTGCCTCATAAAATCGTTCCAGGAATTAAAAGAAATAATATGCAGAGCCTGACATGGAGTAAGTCTTCAATAAATGAGAGCGTTAAGGAGCTGGGAGCACAGAACAACCAATGCCTCAAAGACTCTGAGTAAACATCTCAGAGCCTGTGTTACTGGCTAAAAAACTTGTAGTTAGAAGGGGAAAAGGCAAGTCAGCGAGTTCCTCCTGTCGACTCACAAGTGAATCTCTATGCAAAAGGCGGTAAGGGGCTCCCCCAGATTTGAATTAAGTGTAGTAAGTGAAAGGATGCTGTTTTCTCATCATTAGGTCTTGCTAAATTTAGCTTCATTTTCAGCCCAGAATTGCAGCATTTAGGGCCTGAATTTTAAAAAAGCAGGCATGTCAAATTGTCTTCTACACAAGCAAAGACAGCCCCTCTCTGTTCTCTAATAAGCATGGGCTTGTCCCGGGTCATTCTGGCCTGGTGACTGCTCACATAAGTTGTGTATATTTTCTTTCCAGAGGATTAAAAGGGTTGAGAAATAAGAAAAGTTTTCCTAAGCGTTTAATTAAACTTTAGGATTGGGGTGCCATCTGTCATGCTCATGTCTGGTTCTTATTATTTCTATCTGCAGCCAGTCTTGTGACCAGGAAGCAGCGACCTCATCCACAGGAAAGTCCTAGAAAACCAGAATTCTCTCGCATTCATTTTGTATCTATCATCTGGACCCAAGTATTTGCTAAAATAAGGAAAGAAAATGTTTGCTTCTTTGGAGGTTCAGCTGGCAGCTTTTTAATGAAATCACACAGTTTGAATTTAGTTCCCTGCTTTGTTCTCCTATCTGCCTTCTGTGTGTATGGCTCAGTGCTGAGGTATCCTGGTTAAAAGTGCAACTAACTAGAACAACAGATGAAAAAGCCAAGGAACTCCGCTCCCCACCAGTAAAGCAATCACCGGCAAGCTTGGCAGCAGTCATTCCCACTTCCCCTTTCTTACCTGTCACCCCCCTGAGCTACTCACCCAAGTAGGTGTACCTCCTGTTCATGATCACCTCATCATTCAGTTTGAAGTAGGTGTTGTCTGTGAGGTTCAGCACTTTGACTGTCCCAGACCAATAAAATGAGCCTGGGGCGCCCATCACCACCAGCTCCTACAAAAGAGAAACCCACAGGTGAAAAGGCAAAGAAACTGAAGAGGGGGTAAAGCAGTGTGGTGAGACCCACAATCACAACAAGCAACTCATAATAAACTAAAGACGCCCCACCAGAACTTTCTTTATGAGCAACACAAAAAATTCACGTTTATATTATTGACAACTGCTAAGATATGGAAGCAACCTAAATGTCTATCAGCATATGAATGGGTAAAGAAGATGTGGTATATACAGACAATGGAATATTACTCAGTCATAAAAAGGACAAAATTTTGCCATTTGCCACAACAGAGGCCATTATGCTAAGTGAGATAAGTCTGACAGAGAAAGACATCATTAAGTCTTTCCTTCCCCTATAGGAAAGCCTTTCTCTTTTATTATACTTTCTAACATATCTACACCATAATAAGAAATAATAAAAATTATTTTTCAAACCAAATCATTAATTTTTCATTCAACAATATTTACTAAGCATCTTTTACTAGGTATGAAAGCTTATACCAGGTCCAAATATCATTCAAGGCCCTTTCTACAACATTCCCTGGGTAAGACAACATGGAAATGTACAAAATACTTTAGAAAATACTCTGTCCTAAAGGGTTACAATAAAGACAGGTGCAGGCCTTCCAGGCTCATGGAGATGCCAGACGTTGTACAGGTCACACCTCTTGTGGCTGACATGCACCCACCCACCCCCTGGCCTCTAGAGTCCCCACACTGTTATACTTCAGAAACATCACTCCTGGCTGACCCTTCCCTGCAGAGCTAGCCTCACTGCTGTCACAAGCTGCTGGTTTCCAATGAGTTCTCAGAGGCCAGATCCTGCCCGAAGAAGTCTGAGTTTCTGATGACAGTTCATAAAGTAACACTGAATTCCAAAAGTAAATGTCTGAAAAAAAGCCAGAGCCGTCTAAATAGAACAGCAGAGAGAGGAGGACAGAGAATGCAGAAAGAAGCGCATATGTGTGGCGGCAGGAGCAGGACAATACTTTAAGCAACACATGTTTCGTGGTCAATTTGGGTAACAGCTTTAACAAAGCAGCACGTGAGCAGCGCTAGACAGAAAGCCACTAGACTCCAGCCTGAATGGTTTGCTCTTGATAATTCAGGAAGGCGTTGACTAAGAATGACCATTGAGAACACTTGATTTTAAGGTTCTCAGATCCTATCTGGGCTTCCGCGGTGGCTCAGCTGGTAAAGAATCTGCCTGCAATGCGAGAGACCTGGGTTTGATCCCTGGGTCAGGAAGATCCCCTGGAGAAGGGAATGGCAACCCACTCCAGTATTCTTGCCTGGAAAATCCCATGGACAGAGGAGCCTGGAGGGCTACTGTCCATGGGGGTGACAAAGAGTCGGACACAACTGAGTGAGTAACACTTTCACACTTTCACTTTCAGGGGTATCTCAGTTTTATAAAAACATATCACTTTCTGCACTTAGGATACATCTCTAGGAAAACACAAGCAGTGCCCTCATTCATTCCTTCATTCATTCTCCTTATACTCATCTGTTCTCTGTAAGGGACTGTCCGAGTACTAGCAGGGGCATGAGAAAGACAAATGATCATCAGAGCAGAGAGACTTTCTCCTTGGCCTTGAGCTCAGGAACAAATCTGCAATCAGTGCCCAAACACTGGGAGCACAGAAGGTCATAATGAGCAGCATCCCCAGTGCCAGCTGTAAACACAGTGCAGAGCTTTCTCCACCAGCGGCTTTTCCTGGACCAATGCTCTAAGCATCACCAGAGATCTGAAAGGCTCATCAGGACCCCAGGCAATGGAGGTGCTGCTTTCTGATAATTCAGATCAATCCAGGATAAGAGTTAAGAAACGGACACTGAACGTATCACTGCATCCCCTCTCTCAAACATTATCAAGAGGATACGACAAAGCCATCTCTCTCCTCAAAAACATTTAAAACGAAAAGCATTTGTGTTTTTCCCCCCTTTCCTCTTCGTGTTCATGCCCCTCCTCTCCCTGCAGTTCAAATTATTAACAGATAAACTGAGGCCCAGCCTGAGACTCTCGGGGCTGGGGGTAGGAAAACAGTGTCTCCGTGGGACTCTCTCCTATTTGGCTTTTTCCATCCACTGTGGGTGCAGCCTGGGCCCTTTTGCCACTGTCCACAAGTGCCAGGAAAATGTGATCAATGCTTGGCTCCTCACCACCCAGGAAACAGCCAACACAAATGTAACACACAGAAGTATGAGCCCCTCCAAAAGTCCAAGGTCACCCCTGCCGAAATCCCATCAATAATCAGCGTGGGCCTTTCCCCAGAGGGCAGAACCTCCCAGCCCAAGATATAAGCTGCAGGCATTTCTCGGTGCCCTGCAGATTGGCACAGGCAGGGAGGTAAAAGAGTCCTCAGGATCTGTGACAAAAGTCTACGCCGGATTAATTTCCACCCACATGTCCCCAGGTTCCCACGGTGGTGTCCCAACGCTGGCGGGGATGGGGCGAAGTCTTCTCCCGCTGCTCAGAAGTATCTATCTCTGTTATCCTAGGCTGCAAAAATAAACATGTTCCCAGAAAGTTCTCTTCTTATCCTCAACGCTGGGCTAAAATTCATGTGGTGTCAACAACTCAAACAGCTTTGATAATCAGGGTCGCTGATCTTCAAGTCAAGCAGTCGCCTTTGGCCAAAGAAGTTTGCAACAACAGGGCCGTGACCAGAAGGCCACGGAAGCACATCCAGCTTGGGAGGCAGCTGCCCGCCCTGTGCAGGGAAGGCCCAGCTCCCAGCGAAGGCAAACCCAAGTGACAAGGTCAGTGGGAGGGCAGGGGAGGGGTGCAGGGCTGCCTGACCCCTTCAACCGCATTTCCTGCTCGGCCTCCAATAGCTGAAGTTCCAGAAACAAGAGAGACCGTGAGTTCAAAGACCTCCTGTTTAGGCAGTGCAAAAGCCTGGGAACTGAACCAAAGGCCAAGGGCCCCTGTGGCTGGAAATGGCGTGGCCAGGTCAGGACTGAGCCCTCCAGACCGCTGACGCCCTGCTCCCCGCAGCGCTCCACGCACCAGCCCCACTGCTGCCCGCACCACGCTTCCCTTGGGCTCTGGAGCCCAGGGCCTGGGATCCCAACAGGCCCTCTGGTTCCTCTGGGAACCCGGAGCTGGCACGGCCCCCTCTTACCCTCTGCACCCCTGAACTTCCTCCTCTTCGCCCCCCAGCCCCAGTGTCCTCGTCCTTCTTGACTCTCCAGCTGGAGATACCCCCTCTCTGGGACTCCTCCTCTCCCCTAGCTCCCCACCACCATCTCTGATAAATTTTCATTTCTGCAGTGACCTGACTTTCTCCTCCCACTGTCTAAAGAGATATTCTACACACAAACACACACACACCCAGAGCCCACAACCCCAGCCCCACGCTAAGCACACCTGTGAGCTGTGCCTAGTCGCTCAATTGTGTCTGACTCTCTATCACTCCATGGACTGTAGCCAGCCAGGTTCCTCTGTCTGTGGAATTCTCCAGGCAAGAATACTGGAGTGGGTTGCCAAGCCCTCCTCCAGGGGGTCATCCCAATCCAGGGATCAAACCTAGGTCGCCTGCACTGCAGGAAGATTCTTTACCATATGAGGCACCAGGGAAGCGCATCTAGTCCCCTCATAAACATACTCAATTCAGTTCAGTTCAGTCGCTCAGTTGTGTCCGACTCTTTGCGACCCCACAAATAGCAGCACGCCAGGCCTCCCTGTCCATCACCAACTCCTGGAGTTTACTCAAACTCATGTCCATCGAGTCGGTGATGCCATCCAGTCATCTCATCCTCTGTCGTCCCCTTCTCCTCCTGCCTTCAATCCCTCCCAGCATCAGGGTCTTTTCCAAAGAGTCAACTCTTCACATGAGGTGGCCAAAGTACTTGAGTTTCAGCTTCAGCATCAGTCCTTCCAATGAACACCCAGGACTGATCTCCTTTAGGATGGACTGGTTGGATCTCCTCGCAGTCCAAGGGACTCTCAAGAGTCTTCTCCAACACCACAGTTCAAAAGCATCAATTCTTCNTTTCTGGAACTCTCTTGCTCTTTTGATGATCCAGCGGATGTTGGCAATTTGATCTCTGGTTCTTCTGCCTTTTCTAAAACCAGCTTGAACATTTGGAAGTTCACGGTTCACGTATTGCTGAAGCCTGGCTTGGAGAATTTTGAACATTACTTTATTAGCGTGTGAGATGAGTGCAATTGTGCGGTAGTTTGAGCATTCTTTGACATTGCCTTTCTTTGGGACTGGAATGAAAACTGACCTTTTCCAGTCCTGTGACCACTGCTGAATTTTCCAAATTTGCTGTCATATTGAGTGCAGCACTTTCACAGCATCATCTTTCAGGATTTGAAATAGCTCAGCTGGAATTCCATCACTTCCACTAGCTTTGTTCCTAGTGATGCTTTCTAAGGCCCACCTGACTTCACATTCCAGGATGTCTGGCTCTAGGTGAGTGCTCACACCATCGTGGTTATCTGGGTCGTGAAGATCTTTTTTGTATAGTTCTTCTGTATATTCTTGCCACCTCTTCTTAATATCTTCTGCTTCTGTTAGGTCCATACCATTTCTGTCCTTTATCAAACCCATCTAGCACTGGCCAAATTGAGGCTATGTTCTAAAAACATTCATGTGACCATCCCATCCCATTACTTCACATGGCACATGTCTAAGGCAGACCCCATGGTTTGCCTCTTCCAGTGGATTCTTTCTTGGGCAGCCCCCTTTCCACTGGTACCACCATTCCCCAGAACTCTGGCATAAAACCTCCTTCCTCCACCCCACAGTCCTCTGCTTGCCCAGCCCACTGATAACTGCCTTCACATTCTCTGACTTCCCTCAACCTTTTGATTCCTGAAGCATCACCCTCCCCAAGCTGCCCTGTCATTTTGAGGCAGGACCACATCACAGCCTTCAACCTGGCCTCCCTCCAGGTTCCCCCACTTCCAGACTCCTGGGCACAAGACCAGACCAAATAGCCTTTCTTACAGCACGGCCACTACTGTGTCTGTCACCTGCTTGCAAACTTACAGCGGTTCCCAGTTGCCGACTGGGTTGAGTCATCCTCACTAGATCTCATTGGAGGAATAACAGCCTTAGAAATTGCACCATCTAAATGCTCATTGAGATGGAAGATGGGTGACCCTGGCCTACAGCAGGATGGTATTTCAAACCAACGAGGACAAAGAAACTCTTCCACAAACCAGTATCAGAACAACCAACCATTTACTTAGGAAAACAATGTTCATTTTCCTCATACAATATTTGCAAACATAAATCCAAGATGGATTAAAGATATATTTTTTAATCTATAAAAGTGGCATAACAAAATACAGGTGACCATTTCACACTCTTAAGATGGGGATGACCTTCTTAACAGAGACGTCTAGAATCCAGAAAGAAAAAGATTGTTAGATCTGACCAAAGATGAACGTTCACCGTCTGTAAAGATACCATGCGTGTGCTAAGTCTCTTCAGCTGGGTCTGACTCTTAGTGACCCCATGGACTGTAGTCCGCCAGGCTCCTCTGACCACGGGATTCTCCAGGCAAGAATACTGCAGTGGGTTGCCTTGCCCTCCTCTAGGGGATCTTCCCGACCCAGGGATCAAACCCGCATCTCTTACATCTCCTGTGTTGGCAGGCAGGTTCTTTACCACTAGCGCCACCTGGGAAGTTGTGGTGTGTATTTTACTACCAAAAAATAAAAATAGCATGGATACAAGGAGACAAATTCAGGGCCAGCATGTCTCCAGGCAATGACCATGGCTCTTCTGAAGGGTGATGACAGTGGTGATTAAAACTGTCATATCTGGGATGTACTTTGGAGGTTAAAACAACAAGACTGTGTATGATTAGAAGTAAAGTAAAAAGTACATTTCTTTTTTTTTTTTGGCCTGAGCAGCTAGCTGGATGATGGGGCCACTTACAGAGCCTGGCATGGAACTTTTTCCATGGCAGATCACCATAAAAATGAGAAATGAGGAGCTGATGTGAAGAGTAAACGGACAGTGGGTGAGAATCACATGAGAAAATAGTCCCAATAAATGGGCCACCAACCAAAGGTCATGGTCCGACAGCACAGATCATAAGAATTCAAATTCATGGTCCTTCAGAAACTGGGAAAGGGGATGGTTGGAGCTGTGCAGAAAAACCAAGTCTCTCCACTAAGGAGAAGGATTGCTAGGAGGTGATGTCTGGATGCTTAATGTAGCTTCACACCTGCTAGCAAGAAGACACAAACTGGGTGTTGTCTCTCTTCCACCCCCTTGAATCAATTCCTACCATAGGTTTCAGGGTCAAACTGACTCCTGGAGAAACCGTCCAAATGGGGATCCAAATGGGCAAGCTCACCCCCTCTGCCCAGTGGTCTCCGGCCAGCAGATGCCCCCACCAGTGTCAACATGCTTCCCTGGATGTAAGGACCAGAATTCACACAGAGATCAAGGATGGGGCCGGGGGGCGTGGGGGGATCAGAAGACCCACCTCAAAGGGCCCCCCAAACTCCCACCAGCCAGGAAATGAACACCCACGAGAGAAGAGCGGCCCAAACAACGATACCCACCTCGGTGAAGAAGCCCGCTATCCCAGCCTGGCAGGAGCCGTGCTCTTCTCCATACTTCTTCTTGTACTCTAGAGGGGCGGGGGCAGAGAAGCAGACCACAGCCTTGTCAGTATGCGCCAGGCGTGTGTGCAGCGGCCCGCGCGCTGGCCACGTCCCCGCGTGCGGCCACGGGCAGGGCCTAGGGACGCCGTCCAGACTGGGGCACAGAAGGAAGGTCTCAGGAATCCACCAGACCTCAAAAATCCAGGCTCCGGGGCCATCAGGTAGTGAGGCTGCCAAGTGCCCCGATGGACTTCCTTTGCATGTGGGAAAGGAGGAGCAGCAGCCACCGTAATTAAGTGGGAGGCTGGTGACAATTACTTCATTCAGTCCAGGAAGGATGGGGAGCCCCAGGAGGAAGGAAGAGCTGAAAACATGACCCAGAAACGGAATGATGTGGCCATCGCAGTGTGGGATCCCCTGGGAGACAACGAAGCCTCCCAAAAAGACACTACTTCCAGCTGGAGGCAACATGCTTTCCACCTCCCTCAGAGCCCAAGCGCTGCAGGAAGAGGGTATTCTGCTGGATCGGCCCCAGCACACGGTGACACCATCACTCTGAATTCCTCCTGTGGAAGGAAAAGGGGAGATCGCTGCAGGCCAGAAGAAAGCACTCTTCCTCCACCATTTCCGCAACTCCCGTTACTCCAACGGAACAAATGGGAACTGTGTTGCTACTGTTTCATATTTCCCTTGGCATTTTAAGTTTAGCAGGTTCTGGGCACTGTATCAGCTATGCTCACATATCATTTCATCAATCCCTCATCCCTGGGAACTCATGTGGCCATTTGTAAACAAGCGAAACCCCCAGAGGCTCAGAGAGGTTAGGTGACTCCTCCAAGGTCACACAGCTAGTAAAGAGCAAAGCCAGATTCTACCCAGGTTCAGCAGACTGGGAAATTCACATTCTTTCACCTCTGTGACTGATCAAAGGTTTTGCAAAGTGAGTGGTTACACAAAACCCAGAAGCTGAATAGCCATTTGAAATAACGACAGGGGTAAAGGCATGGAAATAGCATGATGTCCAGCTTAAGTGATTAATTACCTGTGAAACTGACTTGGCTGGATACAGGCTCAAGGCAGCCTCTGGGCACCTTCAGGTCTAAGCTACCCAGTAAAGCAACCCAGTGACCCTCCCATGTCACTCTCCGCCTGCCCAGGCGCCTGACAAGTCTCTCCTTCCATTAAAAGCAATATCATTCATTCTGAAACACAAAGTAAAGAACACAAGGGACAATGAGGCTGTGATTGCAACACAGTGCCACTTCCTGTGGTCCAGAGAGTGTCCTGGAAGAGAAGCGGGGGAAGGGCTCAGGGGAAATATACAGAGTAATTCAGTTTCTAACAACACTCACCGCAGAGCCTGGTAACATTTTCCAGTAAGTGGCCATTAACCAACTGCTAAATTACAACGGAATGTCAATGGAGTTACTCCTCTTCCAGGCGAGAGCTAAATCAGTTCCTTCTGCCTTGCCTTGTTATTATTACAAAGAGAACTCACAGCCCTGACAGAAAGCAACCCAGTGATGATGGAATGCACTTCTCAGCAACATCTTGCACCCAGGACTGGGAGCAAGGCTTAAAGCAAAGTCATAAACAGATCCTGCATCAAACTGTATGATGGCAAGCAATCACAGAAATTAATAATAAATCTTATATCAAATAGCACAATGGCAAAAAGGATCAGAATGCCCTAACCAGAACAAACAGTCACATTAAATGTGGAAGGTTTGGCAAAAAGCATATCCACCCACCAACTCTAGGGAGGGTCCCAACCCCACCCCAGACCAAAGGCCAGCAGGAGAAGCCCTTTGACCAGCACCCTTGCCTCAGCCAGTATCTTGGCATCCATCATTCAGAAGCCAGCCCGGCTCCCTCTTCCAAAGTCTGTGGACCAGAGACAGGAAGCAGGCACCATCACACAGGCTCCGATGGTCCTAAAGCCAGAGGGTCTATACCTGCCTCCTCGGGACACTCGAGGGCACGGAATCAACCACATGGGGCTCCTGCCTGGTACCCAAGACTCCTGATGAGACGACAGGCCAGGTTCTGACTGTCCAGAAATGTCTGGACTCTGGTTAACCCCTTCAACCTGGAACAGGATCCAGTCCTATGCTTCCCCACCCTACTGCACCACACACTTGAGCGGGCAACTGTGGCAACTCCAGTCTAGCAAGGCTCCACTGGGATGTGTATCTGACATTTCACATTCCACAGCTTTCCAGAACCCCTCCCTCAAGCTTCTCTGCCCAGGTGACCTTGCAGGTAAAGTGATCCCCTCTCTCCATCTCAAAATGTATTCATCACATAGTTTATTCAACACCAAGACAAGTTCACTGATCTCAGTGCCTCCGATACCAGCCCTGTACAAGGTATGGTGTGTGCAGGTGAGGCTTTGCCAAGGAAAGGGGTGGACGCTGTTGCCTGTGCCGACACAAGGCCCTGAGCGGAGAAGCAAAAGGACCCAGCACATTCCTCCAGATGCTGAGCACCTAGACTCTCCAATCTGCTCACCTTGGACCTCTTTGCGCCCTCTGACCTGCCAGCCCTGCCCTCTGACCTCCGGTCCGTCAAGACTTCATGACCTCCACCCCAGCCTTGCTTGAAGAGGAGCTGTGTCCTGGGTGCCAGGAACCCTGCTTCTCCAATCGGTGCCATCACTGACCCAGAGCCCTGAGGATGATGGTGGAGCATGCATGGTCAAGGATGCACAGCATGGATTTTTCTGGGCTTTCCAAACCCAGGTTGGCTGATTCTACTTTGGGCAATTCCACCTCCCTCTCGGGCCACAGGTGGAACTGGAAAGAATACTCAGAACCAGTTCTTCAATCCCTGCCTACCCCCTTGGCATGATCCACCATAAACAGTCGTCAAAGATCTGAGAACATGGATGGGATGGCCATGCCCAGCACTCCTGTGACAAAATGCTCTTCTTCTAAAAGTCAAACTGCTGTGAAGAAGCGACATGAGCAGCCTTTACACAACACTTCAAAGTTATCCCTAAATAACTACATCTTAAGACTAGGTACCACTGTGCAAGCAGAGCCACCCAAACCCACCCCAAGTCAAGTTCTGTGCCTGGCCTGCCCCTTTTCAGTAAAAATCAAACACCCACATTGTGCTGGCCTACCAGATATTCAAAATCCTGATTCAGTGAGAAAGCATCTGTAAAGTGAGCCAGGCCACACAACAGATCGACTAGCACCTCGGGGTGCAGCGGTGGCCCTTACGGCCTGGGCTTGGGCTATGCGGGCCTGCCCAGGAGGCACTGAGTCCTGGACCACAGCATGTCCCAGTTGTTTTCACTCTTTTGAGTGTTATTTCCATGAGTTAAGGATACCACTGATTCCTTCTGCAAGAAAAAAAGAAAAAAAAAAAATATATATATATAATAAGATATGGCATCCAGTCCCATCACTTCATGGCAAATAGATGCGGAATCAATGGAAACAGTGGCAGACTTTATTTTCTTGGGCTCCAAAATCAGTGCAGATTATGACTGCAGCCATGATTAAAAGACGCTTGCTCCTTGGAAGAAAAGCTATGACAAACCTAGAGAGCATATCAAAAAGCAGAGACATTACTTTACTGACAAAGGTCCATCTAGTCAAAGCTGTGGTTTTTCCAGTAGTCATGTATGGATGTGAGAGTTGGACCATAAGAAAGCCAAGCACTGAAGAATTGATGCTTTTGAACCTTGGTNAATATATATATATATATATAAGTGTGTGTGTGTAGGGCAATCCATCATACCTACATGCTAGAAAGCTTGCTTTTGCTTGTCTACACCTGAAAAGCAGGGGAACCTCTATGAGAAGAGGTGGGTGTGGAGACAAGGGGCTGCCCCACCACAACATAGCCAGGTCACACACCCTTGCTCCGTGGACAGGCCCAGGAAGCGCAGGGTGGAGGGCTGGGACAGGACCTCCAGTCTCCTGCGTTCCCAGGAAGAACTGCCCCTGCACACACAAAGGCAGTGGGCCGCTCAGTCTCCACCCACTCAGCCTCCAAATGCCCTCAGGACGTGGCTGGGCAGAGAGGACCACAACGTGCCAGCTGCCTTCCTCTCCACTGTAGAACAAGACGTGTATCCACCTTGGAGCAGCAAGAGAGAACGGGCTTGGTGGGACAGCCGCTCACAGATGCTGTAACAAGCCTAACTCTGTTAAATGTGGGGGAGCTCAATCAGGGAGGCAAGGCATGGTGGCCTGAACATCCTTCGGAGGAGCTGGGAACAGGCTGGAAAGCTCTTTCTGATGTGGGTGGGTCTGAATTACGTGGCCTGCGTCATACACTTTGATTCATTAAGATGTATGGCTCCTCCAGCCTAAAAATGGTAGTATTTTCCTTGGTTGAGCGGCTGGTTTCATTAAACCCTGTCTAAACAACAGGCAATTCAGAGAGGAAAAAGATACTGGTTTCCAAATGTTCACAACCCGCAACTTGATGCATGGAGCTTACACTAATGAATTTAATTCATTCAAGAATTAACCTGGGTGGGGTTGCTTCCTGTACTCTTCCCAAAACACTGATGGGATAAAACCAATCCATGGAAAGATCAAGATTTACTATACAGTGTAACATATATTCTTCCTACTGAACTCTTCTTTGTAACCATTCGAGAAAGTTTCATCTTTGAAAGCAAGTCTTTTTAACACATCAATTTAAAAGCTATCTTTCCATAGTTTCTTAGCTTAGCCATGAAATAAAATACCAGACGGAAAAAACTGCTTTCCACTCTTCATGTCTAAATTTTTGCTCAATTTCTGAGTGAATACTAACCAAATGATAATTAAACAATTTGATTATACAAATGAAATTTTATATAAAACAGAAAAGGGGCTTCCCAGCGGCTCAGTGGGTAAAGATTCCACCTGCAATGAAGGAGATGCAGGAGACGCAGGTTTGATCCCTGGGTGGGGAAGATGCCCTGGAGGACAAAAATGCAACCCACTCCACTATTCTTGCCTGAAAAATGCCATGGTCAGAGAAGCCTAGCAGGCTACATACAGTCTATAGGGTCACAGAG